TTTTCAGTATTCCATTTGTGAATTAGAAATAAAGTAGCCTATGCCTATAGGTTATTGCTTGGAAGAATGATTAAATTAAAATAGTTTTTGAACCAACACATCCTAAAGACTTGATTTTTTTTTCACCGCGCAAATGTCAAATGTCGGAAAATTAGAGTTCCTGCACTTATTTTTTCCCACTTCAAGCACTGGTAATAGAATAAACAGAATAAAGAGCATATACACATATATAGGTTAAAAATATATATATAAAGTAGACAATACTGCATATCTTTAAGTATGAAAGTGCAAGTGTGCACCTATTATTCTTAAATTTATAATGGGTAGATGTGGAAAGGTGTAAACACTGAGTTTTGTAAGCAAATGTAATATGCAATGAATATATCAGCAAATACTGTATGTGGATAAGGAGGTTGCTACAACATTGAAAGTGCAGTGCAAAATCAGGATCCAGGTTGGAGGTAGGGAAATTGGTACTTCTGTGTACTTGGCTGGCGACACATTCTCAACTTGACCACTGGGGGTGCTGTACGCAGTTTCCTTTTATGAGGCACAGAAGCCCATTCTGCGCTTTGGAAACCTTCCAGTTATGGCCACTTGTGGCGCTGCGAGTCGTGTTCTGCTGCCGCCCCTTGGAAGACACTGCAGACATTTTCCCGCCGTGACCACTAGGCGGTGTTGTACTTCGAGGCGACCGTTCCTTTTTTGTCCGAATGGCTTCCTGCCTCCCCGCTGCGCTGTGTGGGTCACCGTTACGCTGAGGCCGATGCGGCGGTACTGAAAGTTAGCTCCTGTCTTGGAGTGCTTGCTGTCTCTCCGGTCGAGATAAATTTGTCTCAGCTTTATCTTTAAAAAAAAAAAGCCCCGCTATTCTGGAGTTTCTTGTGGGCAAGAACAGAGGGCGTCCTGTCGTTAGCGCGGTGGCTAACCGGGCCTACCGCGCATTGCAGGCCGGCCAGAATCTGAGCAGGTTTTCCGCTGCGGAGCTGCCACTGTTGTAGGAAGGTGTGTTACTTGTGAATGCATCCTCACCCTCGCATGGCGCTAATGCGCGGCACTTGCTACCTAGTTAGCTAGCTAACTAACTAGATACGTTTCTAGCTGACTGTACTACGGCAGAATAGCTGGGTGATGTATCCGTACGGGCAATGTAAGTATGCTCATTAATCATCATAATGTTCTGTACTTATTAATGTCCTTCAGGGTTTCGCCTTTACCCCCCGCCTGCCATGGCTGAGCCGGAGCTGCTGCTGGACTCCAACATTCGCTTGTGGGTGGTGCTGCCCATCGTCTTCATCACCTTCCTGGTCGGAGTGATCAGACACTACGTCTCCATCCTGTTGCAGAGTGATAAGAAACTTACCTTGGAGCAGGTGTCTGACAGGTACTACCAAGGCCGTAGCCATGCAGTCAACGTTGGGAAGGTCCAAGGCCGTAATTATCATATATTCATGCCCCCCCTCCCCCAATATATTTTATAATTACTCCCTTGAGTACTACCCAACAGAATACTGCTACTCTCGTTAGTATCTTGTTCATGTTCACTTCCCACGCTAAACTGCTGTCCCGCGTTTTCTTAAATATCCAGTCAGGTTCTTATCAGAAGCCGGATTCTGAGAGAAAATGGAAAATACATCCCCAAACAGGTCTGTATGCTTGTCGTCCACATGTCATTGGTGGGTCACTCTCTCCACCTGTCATGTTATTCAGTTATTCCTTGCTGTATGTTAAGTTCATTATCATCCATTTTTTTCCCTGATCATTTGCCAAATAATGTCACTGTAAAACATCTCTAACCTTCTGTTCACATTATGTGGATTCTGTTACTACACGTTCACCTGCTTTATAAACATTTAGCCATTTGTCATAAATGTGTAGATGTAAAAGCTATACACAGGCACATTTTTTACAACTTCTATACATGGAAATTATTTGATATTAAGAAAAACATGTAGGGACCATATGAACTCTCCTTTTTAATAGTCCTTCTTGATGAGGAAGTTTTACTTCAATAACCAAGAGGATGGGTTCTTTAAGAAGACCAAGAGGAAGGTTGTACCTCCTTCCCCAATGACGGGTAAATTTTTATCATGGCTGCCAGCCTATTCTTGTACTAGTCTCTGTGTGAATGTACTTGTATACTTGGGTGATTTTTGTGTCTCTTACCTTTGAGTCAGCATACTATGTGTACTTCAGTAGTTTGCGCTAAATAAATTTGTTTAGCATGGTTCTGAATGTGGCTTTGGATTGTATGTTTTTTTTTTTTTGGACGGTTGGTAGTTTTTCACCCGGTCTGTGTTTTTGCCAAGACCCCAGCATGCTGACAGACATGATGAAAGGCAACGTGACCAATGTTCTTCCCATGATTCTTATTGGAGGGTGGATCAACTGGACCTTCTCAGGGTTTGTTACAAGTGAGTGAATAAGTTTTTATACGCCTATTGTAGAAAGAGAGAAACTCAGGTGTACAGTTTGGCTACACTTTTTAAGGTATGAGAAAATTGTAGGTTCACGTAAAATAAATAATGTTAAAATTAATAAGGCTTCATCTTAGAAACTAGAGGTCCAGTATTACTGGCCAGCATGTCATATGGAGGAGTAGGAGAAGCTGCTCACAGATGTTTGTTTTGTGACAAAGACATAAATCAGAAAATGTAAGCAGGGATCAGGGATTTCTACTGTAGGTTTTGTAAGCATTTAGAAAGAATGCATCTTCAACAAAAGGCTAATTCAGCCTCTGCTCCGCTCTCATAATACATGTATTTGTATTGATTTTTTTCTTCCTCTTTGTTCTTGTTTAAATAAGCACATGTCGCATGCCATTCTGCTTCGTGTGTCCTCAGCCAAGGTACCTTTCCCCCTCACGTTACGGTTCAAACCCATGCTGCAACAGGGAATCGAGCTGCTCTCCCTGGATGCTTCATGGTCAGTGTCTCGTCTTCCTTTTGATATGAATATTTTATGGTCCTGTTTTTCTAGTTAGTTTCCATTCAGCACATCGGCAGGCTGAACATCAAAAATGCAACTAACTGATATGATCAGTATGATGTCTGCCATTTAAAAAAAAAAAAAAAAAAGTCTGTTTTCAAAGTTTTCTCATTTTCATAGGCAAATTGTAGCTTAAAAAAAGACTATGTCACCTCTGTGTCATTTGTTTCTCATATATGGCACCTGGTGTGAAGTCTTAGTTACTTCATTTAAAATAAGATATAGAAAATTAATCTTAGATTTACAGTTTAATAAGGTGGTGAAGGTATAAAGAGGAATGTAATTTAATGATTTTGGTTCTGTGGTAACCTTTTACACGTAATGATGGATGCTGTAGCAGAACATCGAGCCTGCATTACAGACTACATGTTGCTGAAAGACCCCCAGGGCAGTCTGTGTTACTGTGGGCACTCTAACTGCCTGTGTTGTGTTAACAGGGTCAGCTCAGCATCCTGGTATTTTCTGAATGTCTTTGGCCTGCGCAGCATGTATTCTCTCATTCTTGGACAAGACAATGGTAAGAATCGCCACCATTCCTGCATCTGATGATAATTTCCCCGTCATCCTCTCCTGTCTGGTTTTGAGCTGAACGACCATTATTGTGTCACTTAGGACATCAGCTACATTGCCTCTTCCATGTTGATTTTCCAGATATTATAATTCAAAGTAAATATATTATAGCATTTGCAAAAGACCAAAGCACAATTTTAGATAACTTTTATAACGAAAACCAAATTTTTTTAGTTTGGCCATAGTTTTTGGTCTTAGCAGGGATCTGTAAAACTTGGGTTTTTAATAAGGAGCATGTTTTCGCTCTTGTTAATTACAACATCAGTTTTTCCATATTGGACTGGAACATCCTGTCTGATTGCACTAGACTTAACATTAAGCAAATAAAAGCTCTAGTTTCAAATATCCTTGTTGTAAATATTAGTATTTAGTTATATCTACAGTTTTAATGTAATGTAATTGATGAATGAAATGTGTGTGTGTGTAAATTGCATGTGATAAACATGGAAAAAGTATAAACTGTGAACAATATGCTGTGTTTACCAAATAAAAGAAAGTGATCATTTCGTGGGACTGTAGGTGCTGATCAGTCCCGCATCATGCAGGAGCAGATGAGTGGGGCAGCCATGGCCATGCCGGCAGACACCAACAAAGCCTTCAAGGTACAGTGCAGGAGCCAGTATGCACAACATTGGACTAAGACTCAGTATTACAGTGTTCTAAACATTTGTGTTCACTATCTTCCTCAATAGGCTGAATGGGAAGCTCTGGAGCTGACTGACCACCAGTGGGCGCTAGAGTCTGTTGAGGAGGAGTTGATGAGCAAGGAGTTGGATCTGGATGGGATGTTCAGCACTGAGCTGCCGACTGGGATTTTTTGATTGCCCATGTGGTGCTGGACAGATGTGCTAGGGTAACCAGTTTGCTAGTTAGAGAAGATCAAAGTCTGAGCTGCTTGAAGGGATTGAGAGGTGATGGTGAAATATTGTTTCCTTGGATGTGTAAACTTTAGGTTGACTAACTGTAAAGCAATTATTTCTCTTCCTCGAGATCCATTGTCACAACTACAAACATTTTGCATGATGCTCATTTGATTCAAATTAAGCTCTGAATAACTGTCTAATTTTATTTTTGGTCACGGGAACTTTAGAGTGGCTTTTAGAGCAGTCTTTTTAACGTGGTAAAATGGCAAGTTGACCTTTGGGTAGCATTGATTAGAGCATGCTGTCAGTGATGGAACAGTCATTTCAAGCAGCTCACATTGTAATAAGTGTGCAGGGATTCGAAGGAAAACTACGGCCATGTGTCACATTTCCCCGTTCGCTTTTCCCGCTGTTCCCTAATGTCTTTGTGTTTTGCTCATCCACAATAACATTCCCTGAATGTGTTTAATTTCTAGATCTAAATGCAGTGCTGGCGGAAATGTTCCCTATATATGTGCAGAGATCTGTGATTGTTTGCTGCATTGTTTTTTTATTTATCTCCCAAACCATTTTTGTAACTTCCTGTGTTTTGTAAAGAAACTGATATGACAAGACCTGCTGGTGTTTTTTTTCCTATAATTATTCATTTTTGAGATACATGACACAAATAAAATAAATTTGAAGATTTGTCATTATTTGTATAACACTTGTCTCTTAGTGGGGATACTGGGGTCCATTGCATTAAGAAAATGAGATAGCTCTGATGTTAAAAGAAAAGAATTAAAAATTGCCAAGGTGATAAAATTAGTGATTACTTTGTAACTATAGTTGAAATGGTCAAAGATGAGCAACAGTGTAATTGTAGGATTCTTTGGACATATTTTTAAATTCAGAGATGTCTGTAAAGCCAAGGTAAACCCTTCATTTCATTCAGAGAAACCAGTGAGGTGCACATCTACCACTGAAATGGTGCAGGCACAACACTGTCAAGCATCCCGAGCCAGCAGGGGCTCAACCGTCAATCCAGGTATGGAGCCTGAATGAGGACCGGCTTGTGGAGCCCGCTGAGAAGCTAAACTGTGTAACCCAAGCAGTAAGATTTGAGTGTGACTCGCGTCCGTGGATCTTGCAGCAGGCCTAGGGTTTAGGACTCATTGACGATCCTGCTTTGTACCCGGGCGTGAACCCGGCGCCCGCGTCGTTTTCCGCCCTCCGGTGAATCAGATTTCCGTTCCGCGTCCCTGCCGCTCTGACTCAGTAGCGGCATGATGGCTGAGGGCGGCGGACCCGAGTCGGGTAATGGGGCTGAGCCCGACCCGGAGCCGGTGTCCGCTGAGACGACTGTTCCTCCACCTGAAACTCAAAAGGACAGCATCGGGACACTTCTGAAGACCGCACTGCGGAAGGGCGATGAATGGTGAGGTTTCCGGCCGATTCTGGAGCCGGCCCGCGGGGAACCGGCCGGGAATTGCGGGCCTGGTTCAGGACGCTAGAGCCCTGGGGTTTACGCATCGCCTGTACAGATATTTATAACCAGATTAATCAGTGTTACTTAATGATTATTCACCTCAAATGAAAGTCGTTTCTGCCACATTATGAGCTGACTTGCTGAAACGCTTTCCTTTAGCACGATGATCGAAGCTGTATACACGGCCTAAGGGTAACAGGACAGTCCGGGGATGTACAGGCCGCATGGAGCTTAGCAGCTAAGCTAGTGCTTTGTCATGTGTGCTGGGTGTCACCCAGGAAGCCCCCCCAACTTAAATAAATTTACAATTTAAAATAAATATGCAGAAATATTACTAACTGTATTTTGCATAAATAAAATTGGCAGGATGACAAGAGTTAACTAGAAATCGGTCCTTTAGCTAGATGCTCTTGTACGTTTTCTGATGGATTATTTTTATTAAACGCATTTTGGCATATTTTTGTGATTTTTAAACACATGGCTGCCCCTTACGAGCTTTTGGTTCACCTTTATTTACATTCTCAAAGTTCCTTGTTTAGTAGTCTATGTTGATGGCATTTACAAACGTCCATTATCCGTGTTTTCAATTTTTCCTAACTCAAAGAAGTCTTCAGTTACTTGTGACGGTAACTTGTGACGTTGCGGAGTTTCAGTTTTGAACGTCAATACAAACTAACAGGTCGTGAAATAAACACGACATTAACAGACAGCAAGAAAATGTCTACATTAAATGATCTTGGGCTGAAATGAAATTATGTATGAAGTACTCAGTGTGATGAATCGCTCCAATTAGCATATCCGAAGGTACATTTATGCCCTGTGAATTTTCTTGTTTATCAGGTTCTTAGTTGACAACCGGTGGTTTAAACAGTGGAAGAAGTATGTTGGTTTTGACAGCTGGGATTTGTACAATGTTGGGGAGAATAGTCTCTACCCAGGACCCATTGACAACTCAGGGCTTTTTTCAGGTGAGCTTGACACCAGACTTTTGTAATGTATAGTTGTCCTCAGACTGCTTTCAAGTTTCTGATCAACTTCCTTGATCCAGTGACAGACTGGGTGTTACACATAAATCACCACAGCATGTTCTGGGAAATGAAAATACAGATTCTGGTGTTTTGCTAACCCTTCCAAATGTATCGTAGACCAAGAGACTCAGACACTGAAGGAGCACCTTATAGATGAGTTGGACTATGTTCTGATGCCCACTGAGGCCTGGAACAAGCTTGTCGGCTGGTATGGCTGCATGGAAGGGCAGAACCCCATTGTTCGCAAGGTGAGTTTCCCCAAAACCTGACCTTAGCCCTCTTCACTCGTAGCTTTTTCTGTTTTTGGATCTTTTTCTGTTTTTGTATCAGCCACTGTTTGTTTTCACGACTATGGATTGATATGTCATTCCAAATGTGATAAACTAAGAATGTGTTTCGTCATGTCCTGGCGTGTCTTATACATTCAAAGTATGAAGGTTAACTGGGTTGCTTGAGATTTTCACATTTATCAGCATGTTTAAACCTTACTGCTTCTGTCTGAGTGGTTGAAGGTCTCATCGGTGTGTTGTAAGTGCAGATCGCTATCTTTTTAAGCAAGTCGTAGTAAATGCTCAAGGAAAATGTCATAGAAGCAGTAATGAAGATGAAGTTATCTTTGCTGGATTTAAAACTTTATTATGCTGAACTATGACTATTGACATGAGGCATTTTAAGTGACCAGACAGAATAATTTGTCTACTGAGGGATTTTTGGTTTGTCTGAAGGGTGGCGTGGTGCCAGGGTTGGGGGTACAGGTCATGTCTCTGTTCTGTGTGTGTGTGTAGTTTGCACGTCATGCAGGAGGGTGCTCTGGTTTCCTCCTGCAGAGTCACGTTTCGATCCTTGGCAGTTTGCGACATCAGTGCCATCCACTGCTGCCCTCAGTCAGAACTGTGAAAATTCTAATGACACAAATAGGACCTAGAAAACACCTTTGTGGCTTATAGAGCAGTGTTTCCCAGTCTGGTTCTCGGGGACACACAGACAGTCCAGATTTTTTCTCGGCGGGGGGGGGGAGCAAAAATGTGGACCAACTGTACCAGATTGGCAAACACTGCTCTAGAGGAATATGTTAGCTGGGAAAGCACAGAACAGTGTGTCAAATTGGGCAGATGGTATTTCCCAGCACCTGACCTTCTTAAGTCTGAGCTGAACATTTTTTCACTCTTCATGATGTGATGGTTCTGGGGAGAATTTCCTGTTTCATTGTGCTTGACAAAGCTTGCAGCATGTAAAGTGCCAAATTGGGGTAGCAGAATATATCAGGCGAAGTATTTCCTATCTTCACCCCTCCAAGTTCAGAAGGACATTTTGTGATGTGTGTGGGGGGGACGGGATAATTGGTCATTCCAGTTTGGGGTGGGGTAAATGTCAAGAACACTCGACAATTGTGTTCTAGAATACAATTAGTATGATCTTGCGTAATTGGTCTGTTGTAAATTTTAATTTCATCACTCATTCACAGTGGATGTTTTTTTCAGGTGGTTGAACATGGCATGTTTGTGAAACACTGTAAAGTGGAGGTCTACCTATTGGAATTAAACCTGTGTGAGAATAATAATATGGACAATGTGGTGACTCGCCACTTCAGCAAGGCAGACACTATAGGTGAGATTCACTCTGGAGAATTCGCCCAAAGCAGTTGTTGTGGATGCCACGTGTCACTAATGAGTTTCTCCCTACTTGTCTGCAGACATGATTGAGAAGGAAATGAGGTCACTGTTTGGGATCACAAAAGATCAGGAGACACGATTGTGGAATAAATATATGAGTAACACATATGAACAGTTGAATAAGCCAGACAGCACTGTCCAGGACGCTGGCCTCTTCCAGGGCCAGGTATGACCCTGTGTCGTGTTTCTTCATGCTGCGGTGCCCTTTTACACGCCTTCACAGGCGTGGGCAGTTTGGGTTCGTCCCACAGCCTCACATGCAAGTTCATCCATTGGCTAGTGTGTGTTGCCGAAGCCAATCCTTTCCCAGCAGCCACTTTCATTGCTGCTAGTGATGCCAAATGAAGCTTCATGAACCATCTTCTGTATTTTCTCACCCAACTAGATGGTGCTCTTGGTTTGCGTTTGGGTATGAATTGAGCCTTTTATTGAACAGAGACCACCATCTAGTGGTGTCAGAAAATACAGTAATTGGTTTATGAAGTTTCAGTTGGCCATCACTAATCGCCGCTTTGTCACCACAGGTGCTTGTAATTGAGAAGAAAAATGAGGATGGTACCTGGCCTAGGCAGTCAACACATACCAAGTAAGTCAGTCCGGTTTCTTATTGTGTTGATTAATCCTTAGTATTTTTCTCAGGCAGAATGCATTTAACTCTAGGACAGGATGTGGTTAACATACCTCTCTTTACTCAATAACAAATGCAATCACTCTCTGACCATTTAAACTCCTCCCATCTGGTTTGGCAACACCGCCTTTCACAATCACCTTCTCCGTCAAGTGTGCCGCACATTGCTTTTGTATGTAATTTGGTGCTTAAAATTCTCAGATTTTCTATTAGACTTGGTGTGTGTTCAGTGTGTTCCTCCAAAATTTGCCCTCAGATCCAGCACCACCACATCTCGGAACTTCACCACATCTCCAAAGCTTTCTTCTAACTCTTCAGCCACCATCTGCTCTACTGTGACCAACGGGGACAGCAGCAGTAGCAGCAGCAGCAGCAGCAGCACGGGGTTCTCGCTGAATAACAGCACCTCCGCTGGAAACAGGCAAGCACATCGCGCAGAAAAGAAAAGCATGCAGGCTGATGTTCGTGTGTCTGCAGTGATGTTCTCTGCATCTTTGGAGCACCGGAATTTAACGTTTGCACGTCGACTTTAACGGGGATCAAAGCAGATGTATAATGATGAATTAATCGTTCTTGTAGGTTGGGTGGCTATAACTCCTATAGCTCTTCCTACAACTACAGGGAGGTTCAGTCTCAGCCTGGCCTGTGTGGCCTCAGTAACCTTGGCAACACCTGCTTTATGAACTCTGCCCTCCAGGTAGGTACATGCAATGTCTATACCCCCTATCTATAGTGTGTCTGTTATAAACCATAGGTTGTTTTGGCTTCACAGCCTGTTACCTCTGTTTTGTAATTACTGCTTCCCATTTGCTGATTTTGCATATCTAGTTCAGCTGAGTGATCTACCGTTTAACTGTGGGCGTTATTCACAGTGTATGTGTGTGTGTGTATATGCTACTCAATGGTGTTGACATAAAATATGCCCCCCCCCGCCACCCCCCCAGTGCCTAAGTAATGCGCCGCCCTTGACGGAATACTTCCTAAATGATCTATATGAAGCTGAGATCAACCGGGAGAATCCACTGGGCATGCGGGGGGAGATCGCAGAGGCCTACGCCGACCTAGTGAAGCAGATGTGGCAGAGCCACAGTAGTCATGTGGCGCCACGCATGTTCAAGGTGAGCGAGTGTGCAAGTGCACGTGTGCACAATAAACGGCGTCGAGCATGTCAGTGATGAATAAATGATCAGCCCATGTGGTCACGTAAAGGATGACTTTTCTTGTCGCGGTCCTCAATTTCCAGACACAGGTGGGCCGATTTGCGCCCCAGTTCTCAGGGTACCAACAGCAGGACTCCCAGGAGCTGCTGGCTTTCCTCTTGGATGGACTCCATGAGGACCTGAACCGGGTCAAGAAGAAGCCTTATGTGGCCCTGAGCGATGCGGACGGTCGTCCTGATGAGGTATTACCCAAACGAGTTTCCATCCTTGGTTCTCCTCGTCATTGAGGGCACTTGATGCAATTGAGTAATGTGTGTACTGTTGACTTGGCATGGGGTGATAACTAGAGGTCAGTACCATGGCAAATTCTGACGGACATTATCAAAATGCAATATTCACCACAGACATGGTATTTAGAAACATAACCTGGTTTTACTATGGACACAAACAGGTCTTGCCACAGACATGTTGATGATCCCCGGTGATAATGTTTTCTTAACAATGAGTAGAAATTGAACATCTGTTTTATTTGAATATTGGGGAAATCAAAGGACATAATCGGTTATTGGCTGTTGAATCTGCCAACACATACAATAAAGCTATATGGAAATGCTTTTTCTCAGGTCGTTGCAAAGGAAGCTTGGACAAACCATCGTCTTCGTAACGACTCCATCATCGTAGACATCTTCCACGGCCTGTTCAAATCCACACTGGTCTGCCCTGAATGCTCCAAGATTTCTGTCACCTTTGACCCCTTCTGCTACCTCACTCTGCCCCTTCCAATGAAGAAAGACCGTACCATGGAGGTGTTCCTGGTTCGCATGGATCCCCAGTCTAGGCCCATGCAGGTAGGATTCTTACCTTTCATCTTATACTTGCTTACTGTTGAAGTTTATTTATTGTGTATTTATTTACTTTATGCAGATTCCCTTGGCAAGACAGTATTATTTTAAAAAGCCTAAATGTATTGCTTTCAGGTAACTGTAACCATGTACTTACACACCAGTACAATATGCACTGGTATGTTTAAGATGGGCATGGTGATTGGGAAATCGCGGAAGCCGTGGTCTGGTTCAGTATTGTAAGAACGGTCTTTCTTCTCCAGTACAGGGTGGTGGTAGCCAAACTGGGTATAGTGGGAGACTTGTGCAATGCCTTGTCCAAACTGTCTGGAGTTCCTGCAGAGAATGTAAGAAGCCTACCCCAACATCTCCTCTTAACACTAGTCCTGATGTGCTGCTCTTTCAGTGATAGTATATTGGTGCTCTCATTGGATTTCAGTACTTTTTTTTTACGTTATGAGTTATTAGTCAGACATCTGTCCATTATTTTAGTGTTTTATTTATAAATGACATCTCTTCTTCCATGTGGTGCCTGTGTGTCACTTTTGTATTTTATTCTGAAGAATCGCTAAGTAGGATCCACAGGTGATTTTGTTCTAAACTTTTTTTTTTTTTTAACATTTTGTTCTAGATGGTGGTAGCTGATGTTTACAACCACCGTTTCCACAAAATTTATAAGTGGGATGATGCCCTTAACCACATAATGGAGAAGGATGATATATTTGTGTAAGTGGGCTCATTTGCAGGTTTTGCTCACTATCAGATGAACCATATGTAATACAGTTAGAAGTGTTATGCATTAAGTAAGAGTTGGTATGATACGTGAAAATGCTGCGACTGAGAAATCCAACCATTTCATCATCATTTGCTGTTGAGAATGTTGCCGTTTCCACATCAGAATAGGAGTTTTGTGTTCCGCAGCTATGAGGTGGAGGGGGACTTGGGGGAGCGGGTCAACCTGGCAGTCTACTTTAGGGAGAGGTACTCTAAGTTGTCCGGCGGTTCTTCGAGCACCATGCTGTTTGGGCAGCCCCTGCTCCTCACCGTGCCCCGGCAGAACCTCCCCATGGACATGCTGTACGAGAAGGTGCTGGACAGGATCTCGTAAGAGCGCTGCCGCCTGTCGCCTCTCTCGCACTTTGCTCTGTTTGGTGGGTATCGTTGACCGACTGTGGTCATGTGACGGTCCTCCCCTTCTCCAGCCGCTACGTGAAGCAGCCCCATGGCTGCGTGCCTGAGCGGAAGGCCTCGGCCTCCACATCCAGCAGCAGCAGTAGCAGCAGCAGCATCCAGGCGTCCGTGGGAGCCAATCGCGGCGCGGAGCTATCAGATGGGCCGACCTGCAGCGCGGGCTCTGCTGGCCTTTGCGCACAAGAGCGGGAATCGCGTCCCTGCAATGGCCCCAATGGGCTGTGTGAAGGTCAGTACCTCGGCCACTTCCTGCCTGACCTTATGACCTTTTGCCTGATCGTCGGCATTAAGACCTGATGGATCAGGCTCCTGTGGATTTATTTTACAGGAGAGGAGGAAGCCATGGATCACCAGGTGAGCCTTGAGCAGGACAACAGCCAGTCAGACTGCTCCGTAGGGGAAGAAGATGGTGCAGATATTGAGGACTGTCTAACTGGCAACCTGCCTAAGAAGAGTTGTTCTCGGCCTAAACTATTTTCAATCAGCCTGGTGAACTCGTATGGAACAACCAACATCACTCCTCAGCCTTGCGATGGAAACGTCCTCAAATTGAACAGCAAGTATCAATTCCTGCTTTTTATAGTTCTCTGCTGCCTTTGTTCACAAAAAAAAAACATGATTATGGCATCTTAGAAGAGCTGTCTGTTCGATAGGATTTGTCCTTTTTGTTATATACTAATCGATGTTATTTAATGCTTGTCAAAAATGATTAATTTTTGCACCTATTCACTGTGCATAGCACATTCCACAGTGGCCCTAGACTGGGATTTGGAGATGAAGAGGCAGCACTATGATGACCAGGAGGCAGAGGTCAGGAAAATGGAACTCCTCCCTCCCTCTAAGTTAGCCAAAGAGTTACAGTCTGTGTGAGCCCCAGTGCACAGTAGCGCCATCTGATGGTGTAGTAAATTAAGGTTTTTTTTTTTCCAACTTCTAAAAATAACTGCTTATGGTCCAAAAAACTCCAGGAAGGATGTAGGTGTGTTATACCAACGTATCAGGCTCTAACTCTACTCCGCCTCAGGCCTATGAGAAGCATGAGAGCATGCCGCAGCCTCAGAGAAAGAGGACCAGCGTGGCCTTGAAGGACTGCATAGAACTCTTCACCACCAATGAGACTCTGGGCGAACACGACCCTTGGTGAGATTAACCCCTTGGATATTGCAATGCATTTTGTACACACAGAATTCAAAGTGGAAAAAAAGTGAAACCGCTCTTTCTAAGTAGCTACACAAATGATATTTTCTCTTTCCACAATTGTGTCCCATGTAGAAGTTCTGCTCAGGTGACTTGCTATAACCTGCTAATCCATTGTACACATTCCCTTAGGTACTGCCCCACCTGTAAGAAGCACCAACAGGCTAACAAGAAGTTTGACTTGTGGTCCCTGCCTAGAGTCCTGGTAGTCCATTTGAAACGCTTTTCCTACAATCGCTGCTGGAGGGATAAGCTGGACACTGTGGTGGACTTTCCCATCAGGTAGACATCTGCTGCTTCGAGATGGACACAGTGCTTCCCTATGTGATAGACCTGTGCCCAAAACTACGAAGGAATGTAAGACTTCACCATGGACAAAAATGAGCAGTCAGCCATCTTTAAGGGTAGAGCTGACAGTTCTACATTATACATTCCCATTCACTTTTTATGAAACCAGAAACTCCAGTCATATAATTGCTGAGAGACCAAAACATGACTGCACACTAGGTGGTGCTGATATGCTATCATGAAACAGTAATCATCGTTTCAAAGTTCACCTCTGTAGTATTTACACTGTGCTAATAACAAACCAAAATAGATGGTTTGGTTGATATTTAGTCTGTCATTTCCTTCCTGTTAATTTTAAAGTTGTAAGAGCACAATAATACACAATGATACACAATAATACACCCTCTCATCACGAGTCCTGCCTTGGGAAACACCCAAAAAAAAGCTTAGTCACCCTGACTTGCAGACGCCAGAATGAAGGTCATGGGAGGGACGTGTTCAGGGAAGCTTTCTTGCCTGATCACAGCCTGGTCCTAGAAACTGTTTATAACATCAGTGTATAAATATTGTTACTTAGGGCTGTCAAACAGTCCCAAACATTAAGGTCTGGCAGCTGTAGAATACTGGTGACTGTTATACATGTGGAAAGGATGGACAGCTGGTCTGTTTCTCCTCCAGGGACTTGAACATGTCAGAGTTTGTGTGTGATCCAAAGGCAGGCCCCTATGTCTACGACCTCATCGCCGTGTCCAACCATTACGGCGGAATGGGAGGGGGCCACTGTGAGTATTTTTCCAAAGTTTATCTGTTTACATATTTTGTAACTGGTGTTACCATCTGTCAGGTCTTCCAGATCTCGGCCATGTCGTGCTCCGAGGGTTCGCTTTCTCACGCTGTGTGTGGTGTCTCTGCTTTAGTTGCGTCCATGTTGACTGGGATCTTATCTCTCTGTGCCACAGACACAGCCTACGCCAAGAACAAAATCGATGGGAAGTGGTATTACTTTGATGACAGCAGCGTTTCATCGGCCACTGAAGACCAGATTGTGGTGAGCAAAAGTTGCAAAAACATGTATATTTATATACAGGGTGTCCATAAAGTCTCCTTACAATTTCAAAAATGTATTACAAAGGCAATTGATGAGAGATCTTCATCAGATTTGTTCTATGTACTCAGTGGTTATCAAAGTTTTTAATCACATTGCAAGCAAAGGTACGGGACATTACTAATCTAGAGCAGAGGATCACTGATGCCATTGCCACCATTGATGAGGGTATGCTACAGCAAACATGGCGACATCACTAATCTAAAGCAGAGGTTCACTGATGCCAGTGCCCCCATTGATGAGGGTATGAAACAGCGAACATGGCAAGGAATCGAGTACCATCTTGATGTGCTTCGTGCAATTAATGGTGCCCATATAGAGGTGTATTAAATGAGGCAAAAAAGAAACTTAAATATATGTCTCATTTTGTAATAATTTCCACATATCTGTCTTTTCATTTGCCTTTGTAATAATTTTTTGAAATTGTAAAGAGACTTTATGGACACCCTGTGTTCAGCTTAGCTTTAGCATCCAGTGTTCTATCACACTGGCATATTGCAAGTTTGAGGGCCTCTGCAGCCTAGTAACTGTCCTTCTGCTTTTGTTGTCTGCAAGTTCCCATGGTAACCATGAAACCATGTTTTCCCCTGTAGACAAAAGCTGCATACGTGCTCTTTTACCAGCGGCGAGATGAAACTCCCGCGAAGCCTCCCCCTTCAGCGTCCCTGGGCGGGGCTCCTGACTGTGGGGACGATCACATGGACACCAACTGAGGGGCTCGGCGTGGGGGCCGTGCTCGCAGCAGCTTCCACTGCCTCGGACCCTCATCTCCAACCACGTTGCCCATCTGTTGCGTTCCAGTTTTTAGATTTTTCTTCCCATGCATCGATGTCGTTTTGATGCATTACCTAAAAGACTCCATCTTTTGGAGCCCACGGGCTACAGAAGTGTCAGCCTGGCCGTGCTGTTGAGAGTACACAGGGATGTCGACCTCACTGGACCACCAGAATGTTTAAAAAAAAAAAAAAACAGCAATTCTTTTATGTGCTATAGGTATCTGAAGAGAATAAAATAAGCCAAATGCACACACTGTTTGTAGCTAAGTGTTATGGGGGGGGGGATACATTTTTTCTCAATGTATGTGAGGTAGGTGGAGCCAGAAAACCCATCTTATCCACTCAGTCTCTTCCTACTCCATAAACATACATGGCTGCATGCTGTAGTATGCAGTGGTCCTCTCCTTCTGGGCAGATGGGTAGATAAATGGTCAAATGCAGGGGCCCTCTTTTGTAAAGAGAATCTCCCAGATGATGGATATCTTTCTGCAGAACATCCTCTCAGTTTGTCCGTCGCTGTTTTGACTAGCAAATTCTGCCCACGGAACGGTGCACAGAAGCAGGACATCACTAAGGTGTTCTTTTATGGTCTGTGGGAGACAGGGCGATGCCATCTTGGCCTACAAGACTTGGGCTTTTTACAGTGCAGCTATGTGTTTCAGCAGTGAAGCACAAGAGCACAGGCTATTGTTTGGATAAGGTTTTTTTTTTCATTTTATGATGTGTGTGTAAAAATATGACACTTTTTCCTGGGTAAGCAGTTATTAAAGTACACCATTATCACCAGGGTGTTTTACATAAAGCTTGAAATAGGTTGTTTTTGCTGCTGAATTCCTGTAATCTATCCTCTGTAGTCCTGCAACATTTCCTGTGGAAACAGTCTTTCACGGTATCATAACATGCTGTAGCAGGGAAATGGAATATATTTTGAATTCTATTGTGTTAGCAATGATTAACAGTACTGCTGTAGGTAGGAATGAGAGCAGGTAGAAGCTCACCATGCAAATGAGAGATCAGAAGGGTATCAGGTCATAATTCTTCATAGGGTGTGGAAACCGTCTGAATGGGCGTCATTGTATCAGGGTCCAGAAGATTAACCCCCTGAGTTACAATGATCACTCAGCTAAGAGCAAATAGCAGGATGTCTGTATGTGGGATTTCATATGACTTGTTTTATTCATGTAGAAAACATCTTTGAAAATAATGTGGTGGGTACCGATTAATGGGTTTAGTATTTACTAAATACAGGTAGCGTTGGTCGTTTTATTACAGAAGGTGCATTGCACATATAAATCACGCCTGGAGTAATGATAACTTACAGAAATGGCCTTTGTGGGTAAATTTTCTAGAAAATCAGCCTTTGCTTTTGCCTTCTACCTTCTCTGTGTTTGACGCGCTTTCCCTTCTGTGGAAATAATCTGAGCACCGTTTGGAGATCGTCTGATAAGTTAAACTGAGGTTTATTATACAGCATTAGTATTTGTAGCTCAGAAAATTACAGTGCACTCTGGTGGAAAAAAATAACCTGAATCCCAAAAGCTTTTTTAAAGATGAGTTGGCTATTTGATCTAATTTATATTCCCATTCATTCACCAAAATGTGGCTTTCCAGCTTACAATCCTTTGTATTCTACATGTATTTTAAAAAGTGTAAAAGCTTGACATTTGTTAATTTTTTTTTTTTTAGTAAATTTGAAAGTGCTCTTTTTATGGAAAATTAGAATATCAAAGTATATGGGTTTATTAGGTTAGACTAATGGATCCAACTTCCAGATTTTGATTAAGTTGTGTTTAACGCAGATATAGCTACATCGAGGAGAGTTCATGCTTCTTCCATTATACATTATCGTGTAAATATTGTGTTATAGGTACCTTGAATGACTTGCATACATTTGCAGAATAAATAGAATATTGCAGAGTACTTCATTTCAGACTATTTCATCAAGTCTGTTCTTGGGGAAACGTACTTGGAAAGGTGAAATTATGAAGTTGACGAGTTATCAGTAGGTAATTCCCCTGTCAGCACAGTTTATCCCAGTGTGGTAAAACTCATGTCTTGTAATTGACTACATTATGGATAATTACTGAAAAATTTCAGATTAAATCCTTTGCTTAACTGCATGCCCACCAGCTAGTTGTCAGATCCATGAATTAAAATTCAATGTAATCCTTCCCCATGGCTCTTAGGCAAACTTCCTCAAAACAAACACGCTCTTTGTTCTCAGATCTGATCTGGGTACTTCAGCTCCCTCCTTTGCACTCTATGACAAGTCTCTTTCGCAATTAGGAAGTTGTGTAAAAATCCAGGTTCTGTCTCTTAAGCGCTGGTGCAACAGGTTCCTCATACTAGTTTCTATAAGTAAAATCATCTTCATCCCGGATTTACGAAAGTATCAAGTTGTTTACATATTCCAAATTCTGGTATTAATGCCCTGCAAGTATTAGTTTGTTCAAGCCTTAAAATTAAGGTTAAATTATTCCCTAATATACATGCACACACCTCTGGTCAGGCAAACCACCTCTACCTCATATAGCCTATCAGCAAGATTTGATGCAATAGTGGGATGGAAGAGGTTTGAGGACTGAAAGTAGACACAGACAACTATATTGTATGATTTATTGGTCCCATAACACTAAACTTATCTATGCTTCTCATGAGCAAAAATACAACAGTTGGGTTAAGACTTTTACATTTATCAAACATCTCTCTTAGTAAGATTTCAAGAAGTGTCTTCATAGAGTAAAAGGCATAACACACAGCTGCACTGTGCACAGGACAGCATAGGGAGCCTGACGTAGATATGGGTCTTGAGCCAAACATCTGGTAATACACCACAGTACTACCACTGCTTCTTAGGAGACTTCCATTGGACTTATTTGCTCGGGTTGAGGAGCTTTTTGATGTCTCCCTCGATGTTGATGGTCAGGAAGTTCCTACCATACCGCTTGAAGGGCTCTCCATCTGGGTCGATGAGGAACTTCTCAAAGTTCCAGGCAACGTCACTTCGGCAGACGGGACTCCAGATGATGGACTTGGGGTCGTTCATGAGAGACGTGCTATCATCGCTGGGGAAAGGCAGCTTTTCCTTGAGAAAGACAAACAAGGGGTGTGCATCCTTCCCGTTGACGTCCACCTTCTCCAGAAGCTTGAAATTCGGCTCGAAACCATTTCCTGGTCGGATGTACTTCAAGGACTTGAGGATCTCCTCGTTCTTAAAGTTCTCCTGGATAAATTCAGTTAAAATTACAATTATTTGCAAAAAAAAATTTTTTTTTTTAATCCTTCCCAACATTAAATGTAAAAAATTACTCACGTTGCGTATACAAAATACGTTACACATTAACAAAACATAAATTTCTCACGTGCAAAATAACGCTTAATTTAATATATACCTACACGGCATGACCACGAACAACGTAAATACGGCAAAAGTACAAAGCATAATGACGAACTCAAAAGACGGTAAACGGTCACGGGGTACCGCTCCAGCATGTTAAAACATAAATTTATAATCTGCGATCATAGCAGAAAATAGCGCAGAATCCTGACCTGGTGTCCGAACTGGTTGCAGGGCACCCCCAGAACTACAAGCCCCTGGGCGGCGTAGCGCTCCTGGAGCTCGTTCATCTGGGTGTAATCCCTGGTGGTTGTGCCTCAGAGAGACGCCACGTTCTCGATCAGCACAACTTTGCCTTTCAGGCAGGAGAAGTCAAACGACTCCCCCGTAACCAGCTTCGCAGAGAAGCCATAGATGCTCTTTGCTGCTGCCATCGCGCCGCCGAAAAACTCAACCAAGCAGGTGCTCTGGTGCTCTTTATTCCTCCGGCTGGGGCGGGAGTGGGCGGTGCAGGAGGCTGGCCCCAACGTGATTCAAGTGTACAATCTTCCGGGATCCGTTGCATGACGCAGTGAAATTGGGAAAACACTAAAAATCCCCAGCGTTAACACACGTGTCTGAACACAAAGGGAGAGTCTCTTTTCTGTCCCATAGTTTCCTACTGCTGCCATTATTTTTATGTAATCATGATTTAAATAATACCGACGAATACGCTGGTGAGGGACTGATTCATGTTTTATAATAATTATTAAAACATATAGTACGAATTAAATGGTTTTTGGGAACTCGACTTCACTTCCCATTCGTTTCCGCTCTGCTATAACATTTGGTGACGGTCCCTTACGGGTTTTTCGTTTTTGGCGCGTAAAAATAAATTGGATATTTTAAAACCCGGAATACACAGAAGAGTTTATCTTAAAAAAAAAAAAACCCGCAATTTTCTGACACCAGGTACGATATAGTCTTTTTTTTACTTACTGTCACAATGTCAGCGCAGCAATTACACTCGTCGCATATAAAAGCTATGAAAGTCCACTTCAGCGTAATGCTAATATGTAGCTACTCTACTGTGTAACCAAAACGCCGTGCAGAAGTACGTGTCGCTTTTCTATGGTCATCTTAACTAGCTAGCGCTGGTTATACTGGATTTAACGTCTCCACATGCATTACAAGTTATCAATTCATGATTAATTACGGAGATCATAACCGGACTAAAAATATCTGCGCGAGGGATTTCACATATTTATATGCGCTTTCCATCAGCGACATAAATGATTTTCGACAGAGATGAAGCAGCTATTTTTTTCCTTAAATGTTTCGTGTCTGTTAACTTCTTTATTATTAATTAAAAGATTGATTCAAGTCATACCTGTGGGCGTCAGTAAAGAACTGACGATACTCTATAGTGCTGGTAGTAATTGTAAGTACCGTGTCAAGAAATGCCGTGATTTAATAAGTCGCTCATGATCGTTTTGATGAAGTTTTTAGGCGGAAATCCAGCTGTGTGGAGCTGCGCATCTGTTCGTATTTGCGCAGATCGCATAACGGGCCTGCAAACTGACCAGGTGGAAATGCTGCGTAAGAAAAGAGCTGCCGCGGAGAAGAATGAAAAAGCAGCTGAAGCTCCCAGTAAGTCCGTCTGATTATCTGGCATTTGCTGAAATCAAAACATTCTTTAATCATTAAATGTAATTTGTATTACAATGTATAGGCAGTCCCCGGGGTTAAGAACAGCCGACTTACGGACAACTTGTACTTACGAACGGACTGCCATAAAGCATATTATATTAAATATTCCGGTTTAATACAATGTTTCGTAATAATGAATACATGCAATAGCTTGGGAAGCTCATGAAAACATTCAGCGGTCCGGTGTTCTGTCGATTTATGATGCCTTGTCGAAAAATGCTACCGTAGTGTTAATCGATAGCCTTAATCCTAACTCCTACCCTAACCCTAACTCCCCAAACCCCCCTAAATCCCTTACCCTAACCCCTAAAACCTAACCCTAATCCCAAAACGGTGGAACTGCACATGCGCAGAAAGGCTCGATAGCACGTCTCGATAGGTAGGATTTTATGACAGAACACCGGCGACTCTATGTACAGTACAGTACCGTATGTAGTTACTGGATAATTATTTTCATTATTATGTTCTGTATTACTATTTTAATTACTTGCCCCATATAATCAGGTTCTGCTAACATCTATTCTGACCTGTCATGCAGAGAAGAAGAGTCGCAGTATTAAATCCACGGGTCAGAGTAATGTAGATGATGTATTTACCCGGCTCCTGCTGGAGGCAGGAATCTGCTTGAAGGCAGACAACTCACCCAATGAAATCGGTATGACGGTATATTGTAATTAATGAGTCTTATAGTAGTCCTTGTAAAATAACATTCATTAGGCATGTCAAACTGGAGCTGATGTGACCATGCTAATGCATGTAGAGTGAGTTAGTGGACCAAAGCATCAAGCCTTAAGTCTTTTTTTTAGCTGGATGAAGGGGCCTGCATATTAGGGGGCTCTGTGAGAATATGATGATTAATCCCCTGTATTGCTGTTTACAGGCAACTTTTTGTAATTTTTTTAATTTTATTTTTTAAGTTGTAGACCAAGCTGTCTTCCAGAAGAGGTTACATAACCTGCTTAAGAAGAGTCCTCAGTACCCAAATGTAAGTGTTCATCCCAGAAATGGCCCACAATATTCTCTGTGTTACAGTGTTTCTCTAACAAGCTTCTGTATTTCACAGATAATCAAGGAGTTCATATCTGGGCTGGAGTCTTACATTGAGGACCAGGAGAAATTCAAAAACTGCCTCCTACCTTGTGTCCCTCAGGCGCTGGATGAGTCCACCAGGTAAGATCAAGAGTACTGTGCAACTGCCTATGGGGTCTTCAGTTTGGTGTCCTGCCCAAAAGGTATTCTAAGCTAATTCTAACACATTGTGAGTGAAGAAGGAGTAAAGTCTGCACTTATGGGCAATTTGCAGTTACTGATTTGCTTGTCCATGTTCTTTGATGGGGAATGTGAATTGGAGTATGTACTTGGAGGAAACCCACCCAATAAAGCATGTACACTCTGCACACATACAACCCCGGGGGCAGGATTCAAACCCGAGTGCTACTCACTGAGCTCTGCTTTATATTGGCTTTTATTGTAATAATGAATTTAATCGGCTTCTGCTTAACCAGCTTAACATGGTTCTTTGTAGCTTGACTTAGATGCTTAAGCATGATGGGGGAAATAAGCAAAGCTCAGTACTGATCAGATAACGTTATAATGGCAGGACAAAGATTCTATTTCAGGCCTTTGAATTTGTAGCCACTGGTTGAATTACTGTCTGCAGTGCTTCCCCACCTACAGAGAAACTTGTTAATTTTATACTGTGTTTGTTACTCATTTTCTGATGTTGGCTGTCCACATACAAACTGTTAAGATTATGTTTCTCTCTCCTATTCTTTCAGCTCTGTCTCCTCCTATCAAGAAAGCCTTGTACGTCTCCTGTTAGGTGTTGAAATACTCCAGGTATATGCATTTCAGGAGTCAGAACATCATATTAATAGAGTTGTAAGCTGGCGTGGTAAACGTAGTGACTGTTTACCTGTGTTTCAGTCTTCTGTTCTAGGGGTTTTATTTGAGAAACTTCCAGAGTTCATGTTCGATGGGTAAGTGTATAGAAGTTTCAGTGTATTAATTACACAATGACGGGCTCATTCATATGTGTTGATGCTTTTTCGTTTCTACCATTGGTGGTGTTGTAAGGTAGCTGGTCTTAACATTTATTTGGTTATGTTTCCAACATGTTGACAGTGTCGAGGAGAGTGGCCTAAATATCTGTCACATTGTAATAAACCAGCTGAAGTGGTTGGACAGAATCGTGGACTGTAAGGTACTGTAGTGTCAAACGCACACTTAGGGTGTTTTTCCACTGCACCAGGTACCATACTTTAAGTACTCTTAAGAAACTACCAAAAATATGGTATTTCAGAGTTTTGGTTTTCCACTGGGGTAAAAACTGGTACTGGTGCTGAATGACATCACAACTGGGGTAGGGTATTTTGTAGGCTACTGAATTTGTGAAATGGCTGTAGTATATTATTGGGCTGGACAATGTGCAATATTAATACTAACATTGTATGTCATGTACATGCGATGCACATGGACTGCCATAGCCTCACCCCAGCAGACTTTCTTCTTACTTTCATACTGTCGGGACATTATAGCATTTTTACTTTGTCATAGGAAACAAAACTTAGCAAATATGGCAATTTTAATGATTGTTCCTTTTCAAGATTACGTAGTATGAACTCCTTTTTTGTTTTATAAATATTCCAGTGTTTATTACAACAAAATCACATTGCAATGTTTGGAAATTTTCCAGTACTGTGCTGTCCTAGTATATTATACAAAATACTCTTATTTCTTGCCAAACCATCCTTATCTAGTTGTATCTGTTCTTCTGACCAGACCACAATTAAAGCTTGAATCTCTTTAATTGTCCGTTTAGCCTAGTAATATTAATTTGTTATTGCTTCATGTATCATTGTTTTCTGAGTTCATAACTTTTTTCAGCATGGTGGTTGTATTGTGTTTAGAGGCAGGGTATTTGCATAACGAATCGAGAAAGAAAGCATTTGCAAGTCCCACCCTAAAGTACTGAAGTACCAAGAAAGCTGGTTTGTTACTTTAGGTACTGAAACTTTTGGTACTGGTACTCTCCTGGAAGTCAATGGAAAAGGGAAAGTACTCAAAGTATCATACCAAAAGTACAGTACCCGGTGCGGTGGAAAAGCGCCCTCATTGCATCCTGCAGAGCAAGACCTGCTGTAACAGGAGCCGTATTCCCTCCTTCTCATGTTTCCTTCCAGGATTTGGCAGCAAAGCTGCTGGAGCTGGTTGCCGTGGCACCTTTGGAGCTCCAGCGTGACATCATCACCAGCCTGCCAGAGATCCTGGAAGACTCCCAGCATGGAGACATCGCCCAAGAGCTCAAGTGAGTGTCGTATATTGTATCAGGGAGGGTTGGCTGGAACAATGGCTTTAAGCGTACTACGTCCCCCATGTGTCTGACAGATCCCTACTGCAGCAGAACACCAAGCTGACTGTGCCCATTCTGGATGCCCTGTCAAGTCTCAGCTTGAGTCCTGCTCTGTTGACTGAGGTACTGTGTGACCTGCTCTTGGAGAGACTCTGGCTAGAAGAAGTTTGTGTGTGGGGTGCAGGGGAATTAGTGCCACTGAAGACCTTCCTCCATGCCGTGGTCTTAGGTGCGTGGGGTCATCATGACCACCCTGGTTGCTGTGCAGCTCGAGGACCTCCCTGTCATTGTCAAGTTTATCCTGCACACAGTCTCTGCTCTGGATGCCTGTGAGGTAATGCAATAGCCCTGACTCTAACTACTTCTCCACACGCATACTACCGGACATGTCCGCTCTAACGTTTATGATGTGTTTGACGTCATTGTGCACCACCGTGGACGAACGCCTGATGCACTCCAAATTTGTGTCCGTGCAGTGGTGTAATCAATTCGCTAGCGTCCACTTTAAATACCAATATGGATGCTTCTGACAAGTGGAAAAAAAAAACTGTTGCACACAAGCATTTACATGTATGTGAGTACAGACTTGAAATCGAATTGAAAATCTCACGCCAGCCAGCTGACCAACGTTGGCAACACTGAACTGCCTCTGAATTTATAAAACATGGAGAAATGGACACAAACCTCACTGCTGTGGCATGTGTGCAGGGAATATCAGAATAATCATTTTTATTATTATCACTAAGAAAAATATAAATTAAAAACGTTGTACGCATGTGCAAAGTACACGGCTTGACCGGAGAAGTATGAACGTTTCTGTGTACACATATGTAGAGTAAATACGCGAGTGCTACGCTTGAACCAGCCTTAACAGTGAGGGCAGGTTTATTGATTAAATCTGTATACAGGTACATATTCATAAAGGTGGAACGTTCAGGTCCAGAAAGTAAAACAATCCACACTAAGATTTTGTTTCAACCAGTTGAAGATAAAGACTCACAGTCACAGAATACTCAACTGATTGGTTGAAACAAAATCTTAGTCTGGATTTGTACTTTCTGGACCTGAACTTTCCACCTTTGCATATTCAATTTAACAGTCCAAGTTTAGGCATTGGGGATGAAGGGTAGAAAAAGCATTTAGTCTATTTAATTTTGTTCTGTCTATCTCAGGGCTGTCTGTTATATGACCCCCGCCAATTTACTGACAGACTACTTCTGCGGTTATACGCCTATCTGGGTTATTGACTGACTGGTGGTGCCTGGTAGGTGGTTTCTGACCTGCGGAGGAAGCTGGACCTGGAGTTGTGCGTGGCCCCTCAACATAATACGAAGGCTGGCACAAAGGGGTGAGACCGCCGGTGGCAACGTCCACCAGGGGGGCTTTAGATTGTCCCTTTTTCCCCCACTGATACGTCTTTCCAAGTGCAGGCTTAGTAAAATTGGCTGACGTGACTCTCTGGGCTCCAGTGGTCCATGGAATCGTACTCAGGGTAGCTTGAGGATACATCTGTGGGTGCTGGGTCTTACTCTGACAGTCTCTACTGTCCCTGCTGTAAATTATTTTTAAGGTTGTCCAAGTTCCCACCAGACAATAGTAAAGAGGACTGTGTTTCCCTGCTTTTGGACGTCATCAAGACTGCCGTGCGCTTTCAGAAGACCATCTCTGAGGCGTGGATGAAGGTAAGAGCTGTTGGTTTGAGCTGCTGCTCTCGCCAGTGAGATGATCTGCTGGCAGATGCTCATTGTATTTGTTTTGCAGGCCGTTGAGAATGTGGTTGAGACGGACGAGCACAAGGTAAAACTAGCATAATTTATTTATGTAGTTGATTTTTATATCTGTGGTTTGACTGCATGCTTCTGCGTATTTGCTGAAGAAGCAAATTAATAAAATTCGGTTTCCCAGTCACTTAACATGTGGAATGCAAGCACAAAACTGGATTTTTCTTATAGCAAACTATAATATAGGTGAGAATTTGAAGGTACAGTCGTAATCCCTTTGGAGATGAAAAGCTAAGGCCTCTTGGTTTCAGCCACTGACGTCGCCTCTGTTTCAGGTCATTGACCTGCTGGTGTTGTTCATCCTGCACACCACTAACGCCAACCATAGCCGGAGGGGGGCTGAGAAACTGCTGCGTATCAAGGTGAGGGAGGGGCACATCCGAGAGGCTCTGCTGCAGAGGACGTTCCGGGGACACGGCCAGGTGAGCTCACCGCCGCTGCCTCGGAAAAAGGTAGCGGCAGCGTAAAAAACATGGATAGAAAGATGTTGTGTATAGATCCACAGGAGGTGTAAGAAACTTACCTGTAAATGTATCTGCTGTTCAGTGTGGACCTTCATTCGGACGGCACACATGCGGGCAGCCAGCTGGCCTTTCATCTTCTTTTAACTACTACAGGATTTTCTTTTCTTCTGATTTTCCGGATTGTGTCATAGGCCTAGGTTCTTGCTAGCGGTTCACCACATTACCACTGGCGATTACAATGCGTCTGTGGCGAGATTATTTCACAACCCTTTCACTACACTTGTGAAGACCAAACTCACAATCTCAAGCATAGCAGTATGTTTTATGTCGTACTAAATCGCTAAATATGTTTTGGTGATACACTTTTTACTTTCGGTATGACGGTATATTGTAATTAATATTGTACACTCTTTAACTTTCTTGAAGACATTGTAATACCACCGCAGCCTTCACTTGGACAAGTGGATGGAAACCAGTGATGGGTCACAATCTGGCTTTTAAGTGAACGTCTGAATGATGAGGCCTTTTTTTTTTTTTTTAAGCCAATCAGATCTCGGTAACCAAACTACTCTACCTATGTGTCTATATCCTCTTGAACTCGAAAGTCAAAGCTTACTCCAGGGGTGGCAAACTCCAGTCCTGGGGGGCTGGAGCCCCATGTAGCTTAATTCTTTCCCTGTTCCACCACAAATGATTCAGCTCAAGAGCTGTGTGGTAATTAGCACAAGGAAGTGCAAGGAGTTGAATTGAGTATGTTAGATGAGGAGAAACCCATGTGCAGAATCTGAAGAGAAAACATAGATCTATGGAGGACGAAGTGTGACTTAAATAATTAAGTGATCTGTATATATAAATATTTGACTTGAACAAATAAACCAAAGCTCTGAAAATCTGGGCCTGGATTCCAAGTCCAGGCCTTGTTTTCAGTTCTCCCATGTACGTAGTTTAATAATTACTGATTCTGATTGGCCAGAGGTTTCACACCTAGTTCCCAGGTAAAGGAACGCTGGAAAATCAGCAGGGATCCTCCCTAAAGACTGTGAGTTAAATAGCCCTGAAAATAAACAAATCCTTCACATGACTAAATGTCCTTTGACCTCAAATGCAATGAGTGAGACTCTGCTTCAGGTTTAGTGCTTTAGCTATGGAAATGAGGTGTGTACAGGCTAACATGGATAGAGGATTACAAGCACCATAGCTACACTATCACCCACCATTTAAGCAAACACTTTGAAATGGACTCCAGTAAATTGTATTTGTTTGTATATACTCCATATAGCTTTTGAGCTTAATAACCCACTTCATGCTGTTAAAAGAAAATACGGTTAGGGATTGTTTAATGATTGCCAGCGATTTACAATCCTTTTCATTTGTGGATGATAAGGGATTCAGAGCTCCATGTCTGTCTGTGACCATTTTCTTTTCTAACACAGCTACAGATTATCTACTTGCTATTTTATTTCTTTGTCTTAATATTCATTGAACTGGATCATCTTACAAAGAGTCTGATGATCTGTGTTTCATAAGAGTGTATGATTGTTCCTGTATGTACCCCTGCGTGTACCCTTTGTGTACCCCTGTATGTACCCTTGCGTGCACCCCTGCGTGTACCCTTTGTGTACCCCTGTATGTACCCCTGTGTGCACCCCTGCGTGTACCCTTTGTGTACCCCTGTATGTACCCCTGCGTGCACCCCTGCGTGTACCCTTTGTGAACCCCTGTATGTACCCCTGTATGTACCCCTGCGTGTACCCTTTGTGAACCCCTGTATGTACCCCTGTGTGCACCCCTGCGTGTACCCTTTGTGTACCCCTGTATGTACCCCTGTGTGCACCCCTGCGGTGCTGATCCAGTTCCCTTTGCTGCCTGCAGGTGATGCGGAGTTTCTTTCCCTCCATCTTGTCTCTGGCCCAAATCCTGCTCCGATCTCCGGAAACCTGTGTTGTTTCGTTTGGGGGATCCCTGTATAAACTGGCCTTCACCGCCTTCGACTCGTACTGCCAGCAGGTGTGATTTGGTGTTTCTTTATGGAACTGAGGAAAATGTTTTTGTCTTGTTTTTTTTAACACATTTGATGGGGGATGGGTATTGATGGGGGGGGGCGGCTCTGGGACCGGGGTTCATCTCTCTGCTATGGCTCCTTGTATGTGGAGATTGCGCGTGTGCCCTACGATGAGTTGTTCCCTGCTTTGCGCCTGTAGCCTACGGGATAGGGTCTGGACCCTCTGCCACCTTGAAAAGGAAAAGCGGTTTCAGAAGATGGATGGATGGATGGATGGATGGATGGATGGATGGATGGATGGATGTTCACTGATTGAGTGTTCTTAGTCAGGCTTTTAATTCCTTACTGGTTATCACTGAAAATGGGTGTGTTTATCCAGGAGGTGGTGGGCTCTCTGGTCACCCATGTGTGCAGCGGCCTTCTTGGTGAGGTGGACGCGGCTCTGGAGCTGCTATGTGAGCTGGTGACTCAGAAGCCGGAGGAGATGGCGCGCTATGCGGTCTTTGTGAAGGTCAGTCAGCCCACCCCCCAGGCCAGATATATCTGTCCAGGTAGATTCATTTAATCTAATCTTTGCCAGACTGACTTTTAAGGTGACATTAATTTTTGAAGCTGTCATAATAATTACCTTCCAGTGTCCCTCCAGGACTTGGTGCATCCTGATACGGTTGAAAAAGTGATCCAGATTCCGAACAGGAAGCCCTTATTTCTGTTCTTGATGAAACTCTGGTGTAAATAGTTAATTTGCGGTAAGACTCCTGTAGGTTCAAGGCCGGATTACGTCCCACAGGGTATCCTGGACTACATGGACAGCCTGACACCTCAGCAGATCCGTCGGCTGTTTTACGCATTGAGCTCGCTGGCCTTCGGGAAGGACCAGAGCAGCCACATCCAGGTGAGGAAATGAGCTTGCGTCTGGGTAAGGAGACGCTGGACAGACCCGAGCTGAGTCCCTCTCCCCGCCTGACTCCCTGCCCCCCCCCCAGGATGACATGCACATAGTATTACGCAAGCAGCTGTCCAGCCCTGTGCCGAAGTACAGGCGGATCGGCATCATCGGAGCGGTCATGGTGATTGGCAGCATGGCCTCTACCAGGTAGTAAGTGGGCTTGGGCCTGGGGGGTGTGTGACCAGGCTGGAGGAGGCCTGATTTCTTGTCCTGGACCGATTTTTAGGGACACCGATGAAAGCAGCACTGCACCCCAGACCGGGTCCCTGCCCAAGGAGAGACACAGACAGGTGAGCGGCATGAGCAACACACAGACTTAGTGTTAGGAGTGTACATTGCGCTAGCGTTGATTCTCTGTTCCTGTGTGTGTGTGTGTGTGTGTGTGTGTGTGTGTGTGTGTGTGTGTGTGTGTGTGTGTGTGTGTGTGTGTGTTTCCTGGTCAGGTGACCGGCCTACTCGAGCTGCTGCGCTCCTGCACTGAGGCCTGCCCCGAGTCGGCCGCGCTCTACTATGATGAACTGGCCAACCTGCTTCAGACCTACAAGCTAGACCTGCAGGTGCAGGTCTGTGTTTGTAGGAGGATGCACTGCATCGCAGTGACTCCGCCCTTATTAGCCACGTTTACTGTTACACTGTCACTCTGGACCCCTAACTCCAGACCAGTGTTATATGGGAGAATTGGAAACATAGGCAATGAAACACAACTTTGAAACGTTAAAAAGTGGTTTCCCAGCTGACCTACACTAGTGGCCAAAATTGTGGAAACGCCTAGTATTTTGGTACTTTAAAAATTACTAAACAAAGATTGGTGGTAATGTTTATAAACAATCAAAGATTGTTATAAATATCATACATTGGATGACTAAATAAGTATCTGAAGCAACAGTTGAGTAAAATTCTGCAATGTAAAAATCTCCCTATAAAACCAGTTTTGGCAACTAATGTTCACAAGCATATCTTGTGTATGTTTCAGGAGTGGATTGGGAAAAGTGTGCTGGAGGATTTCCAGGAGGATTTTGTGATTGACCTGGGACCGGACATACAGGGGTGAGCAGCCATTTCACTGTCCTTTGACGTCAGGCACAATGAGTGAGACTCAGCTTCAGGCTTAGCGCCTTACCTATGGGAATGAGGTGTGTACAGGTTAACATGGATAGAGGAGAGCAAGCACCATGGCTTGAATTTTGGCCTGGAATTATGGGTACTACACACAACTTTAATCACTGCCCAAAGTTCAATGTTTGTCATATGGGAAATTTGTAAGCTAGGCTGTATGTTTATTTAGATATGACTTTATAAACAAATCTACACAAATGATCAAGTCACATGTCATGTCTGGTAAAGTTATAGTTCACTGCAAACCTTTTTTTTTCTTCCAGCTCATTTCCCTTCCCTGCTTCTGTCATGTACAACCTGGATGAGGACGAGAGCCAGGGAGGCATCGCCATCAACCTGCTCCCTCTGCTGGCGGAGGACGTCCAACACAAGGGGGAGCAATGGAGTCCAGCGCAGGACAAGGGCAAGAGGTGAGCACTGCACGTCTCTGCTTGGCCTGCTTTAGGCTGGCTCACTGCCTCTCCCCTCCTGGGTAAAACACTCTGTCACAGGTGGTGTTCAATTCAGGCTGGATTTGTTTTCAACTTTCTGAAAGTGTCACATGGTGCCACATTTTCAAGTTTTGTGTTGAGCCTTAGAACGGCTTGATTGTGACAAAAATCATAATCACGATTATTTTGGTCAATACTAAGATCATGATTATTTAATACGATTACTCACTGACTTTGGAAATATGCATTTATCAGACTTTTTTTTACAAAACTTGTATTTTAAACAGTAGACCTAAATGTTACGTATCAGATTGAAAAGGGTTAGAAAGGGGTGTACGGTATTTATAACAAGACAAAACGGGGGGATCATTGCAAGACAAAATGCAGAACAATAATCATTTTATCTCGATTATTTTCTTTCAATGATCGTTAGAAGCCAGAAACACAATTGAAATAAAAATGTGATGAATTGCCCAGCCCTACTGAGCCCTGCCCATTCCTCTGTCCCCTCTGTCCCAGGCGTGTGTCCCCCCTTTGCCTGGCCCCCTTCTTCCGCCTGCTGCGGCTCTGTGAGGAGAAGCAGGACCATGGGGACCTGGAGGAGATCGATGCCCTGCTAGGTGAGCAGCATGCCATCTGAGAGGGCGCACTTTCCAAAAGCTGGCCTGTATTTCTGGGCTGTATTCGCGTAAATGGTGGGTGATTCAGTACCTCTGGCGATTTGTTGCAGGATGCCCGCTCATCCTGACAGACCTTGATGTGGTGGAGAAAGTGGACAGCCTGTCCAAGGCTGAGAGGGAGTTCCTGTGCTCCTTACTCTTCTACACCATCAGCTGGTTCAGAGAGGTCACACTGCGCAGTCGTGAACCCTCAGCTTTCACTGGTTCTCTGTTGTTGTAGCTTTTTGATGGAGTGGTGGTGTGTTTGCATGCGCAGGTTGCAAATGCCTTCTGCCGTCAGAAAGACCCCGAGATGAAGATGAAAGTAGTGTCGCGATTACAGAACATCACCTACCTGCAGGCTGTACTGGAGAGGCTCCTGGGGGGTGAGCGTGCAGCCGATTGCATTGGGAGGGGGGATAAAGATCCACGCGCAGTGTATCTGTATGAGATTAACCCCAGTTCTGGGTGTCTGGGGTTTGCATGGCTCCCTTGTATTGGTACTTCAGGTGCTCTAGTTTCCTGCAGTTCAACGATATGAAGATGAACAGTTAGACTAATTTGCATTCTGACTGCCCATACTGTACACATGTGTTTGCCCTGTGATGCTCTGTGCCCTCTGCTACCCTGGGATAAACTCCAGGCCCACCAACAACCCTGTACTAGACTGATGGACAGATGGATGATGGGTATTTGTGATATACAGAACTGTGCCAGAGTCTTAGGCAGTCGCAGAAAATTATGTTTTAAATTATCTTCATGTTGGTGTAAAACTATGTCCGTCAAAGTCTCTTAGCTTAGTCATTTCAAAACCTATCCTAAATTCAGCACAATATTTGCAACAACCACCCAATGCACCTATGTATTTTTGACTCACCCACAATCCCATCTTGTTTTTGGCTAATCAGTACCCCATTGAGTTATTCAACAAATGAAGTTAATTAATTAATTGAGCTGGTGGAGAAATTTAATGAATACATAGAATGACTGAGGTGCCTCTGAGGAGAGGTTTAGGAACCAAAACAGAAGTTATCTAGCTATCCAACGGCATAGCGTTTATTTTTGGAGAACACACAGAATTCTTGTGTTACTGTTTATTTGCACATGCTATGTTAAATTGTTTTTTTTCTGAGCAGATATACAATTACTGCCAAGATAAATAGCCATAACCATTTTCTTTGAATGCCTAGGACTTTTGCATAGTACTGTACATAGTTACTTAGTGCAGTCAGTTTTAGCATGCATACTAAAATCCATCCATCCATTAATCCATCTCTTCCAAACACTTACACAGTACAGGGCCTTGGGACATATATTAATATATTAAAGTAGATAATGTGAAACTGCATGGTAATCCATTTTAACAGGGAATTCCCCTCTGTGTTTGCTGGGCTAACGTCAGTAGTGTTTCTGTACCTTCTTGCCTGCATCTGTCTTTTGTGCTCAACTTCTCTCGTCTCCTAGCAACACCTGGTTTCGTGCCTCCCCTGGCGAACTTTGACTGCGACAGCTCTGAGCTGTCAGCCCTCCTGCCGCCTGCTGCCCCTCCCAAAAAAGGAAAAAAAGGTAAAGGTGTCCTCACAGCCCATAAATCCCGCCTTGAAGAGTGTGTACCTGGCAGTGCTGCTGTGATGCTGCAGTGTTCCTCAGTAGCAGCGTCTACGCCGGTCATGTGACCTGTGTGTTTTGTTCAGAGGGCTCCAGTCGGAAGCGCAAAGCGTCTAGTAAGAATTCATCGGGGGAAGCCTCTCAGCTGGAGGAGGGGACTGAGGTGGAGGAGTCCCAGCAGGTGTGTGTGTGTGTGATGCCTCTTCTCAGCCACTCCTCCTTGTTGTGTACATCTTGTTGAGGGCATCTTGCATTAAGTCTAACCCGCACAATAAAATGCACATTGTTGCATTAATAAATTGTATAGACCATCTTTAACGCTTACCATTTAATTTTATATCACTACGTATCTGCAGAAATACTGTTAATATTCAAAGATGAGAGTGACAGAAGAGATGAAACTCTGAGTGTCTGCCCCCTCCCAGGAGCCGCCACAGGACAAGGAGCCGGCTGTGGGGGTCAGCCTGGCCTCGTACCGGCCCTTCTTCAGGGAGCTGGATGTGGAGCTGCTGGCCGTGATCCAGTGCGGCCTGCTTTCCCGCTCGCTTCTCGACACAGAGCTGCACAGCCACGTACGGCACGCCGTCTCGCTCCTCTCACCAGTCAGCTCACCTGCCGCCTTCCTTGCCCTTTCCTGTGCAGCTCCGCCCCTTTGGGTGTGAAAAGGCTTCTGCCTGTGTGACGTTGACAGTGTTGCAGGCTGCTTTTGCTTGTGGCTACTTGCAGGAGAGAGTGGAGGTGCAGTTGGGCCCTGCTGAGCTGGTCTTCCTACTGGAGGACATGTGGAGGAAGCTGGAAGTCGGCTTGACGGCAGCCCCAGCAAAGAGGTCCCCGTTCAGGGTGAGGCCACAGCTGCATGTGCCTGCTGGCGCATTCATTTTAAGGTGATCATGTGACAGATCCTGGCCACCAACTTGCCTATTTGCTGAAATGCCTGGTTGCAGAAGTCGGGCAGAAGCGTTGGTTTCTCCCACCTGCACCAGAGGTCCCCCCGGGAAATCGCAACTTTTTGGGTCCAGCTGCTGCCCACACTTTGCACCCACCTGGAGAACTGCCACAACCACTTCCAGGTGCCCAAGCCCTGCTGCTGGGTCATGTGTGATTAATGCGGTGGTCATTTAGCCTGTGTTTGACCGGGTCACCTCTGTGTGTCCAGGCTCTGCTCTCTGCCAATCAGGGGGTGCTGGACGGCCCTGGCCTCAACACCAAGGAACACCAACTCATGTGCTCAGTGCTCCAGCTGCTACTGCAGATCCTACGCACCGCTTTCAGCTGGTGAGTATTAGCCATGATGGACAGAACATAGGACTCACACGTCATAGTGCTCTCCTTCCCTTATGAATGTGTGGCTGGCTGGTCCTGATTCAGCACTCTGATCCTCTGCACCTCAGGAATGGCTTCACCGAGCACGAGCAGCGCCCCCTACTGAAGAGTGCCTTGGAGGTTCTGGCAGGACGACTTAAGGAACACGAAGCTGCCCTGAGCCTGGAGGAGCTCATCAGGTATAGAGTGTTGTCCTGTGTGAGGAGAGGGAGGCGGGCAGCTGTGCGCCCATGGCTGCGGCGTCGCCATGGTAACACCCATCTCTCCTTTGCCCAGGCACAGTTTTGAATACCTGCTGAACTTCCGCAGCTCTGTTCCCACCTTGAGCTCAGCCCTGTCCCTCACGCAGCTCCTCATTGTGATATCGGCTAATCAGACGTCCTGCAGAGGGCAGATAGGTGATTGTCTCCCATACACAGTGAAGTGAGGATGTGATGCTGGCCGGCTGCTGTATGCAGTGTGGACGGCAAGGCCTGGCCTGGCCTATCTGCTACACCCTGTGCAGAATCCAGCTCCAAGGCTCTCTGTGCTGCATTTGAGTTTGACAAAATGTCCCCTTGAGTTCATAATTTTGTTTCAGGATATTAACTATAATTTAATCTTAATTTGATTATTAGGAGTTGGTTGTATTTGCATTTGGACATATTGCCTTTTTGTGGCCAAATTGTCATATCATTAAGTAAATATAGAGATTTGTACGTTTGGATGAAGCTCTTGAGCTCATTAGTAAAGCTGTCCAGGTGCTCAGTAAGCCACACTGACTCTGCCTCACAGACCCACTGTGACCCTGCTATGTCCCCAGCTCCCCTTGTCCGACACTTCCTGTGCCAGGAGTGGGTGGCGCCCCCTGGAGAGAAGGAGCGAGGGGTCAGAGACAGTACTTCCCTGCAGGCCCTTCTCAGGTACATGGCGTGTCCTGCTTAGGGTGACACTTCAGTGTGAAGGGGAATGCAGCGTTTCGTCTTGACATTTTAGGAGTGTGCTGATCATGTCTGTTCAAGATGAGTACCCACGTCACAACACTTACGTCTAGTGGCCGTGAACGGTGGATCAGTGGGTAGCACTGTTGACCTGCATTTGCAGGTTTAGGGGTTTGAATCTCACCCCAGGTTAGAAGATGAATGACTATTGTCCATTACTGGTCTCCAGTAGTGATGGCCAAATGAAGCTTCACAAACCACTTACTATATTTTCAGACCCCACTAGATGGTGCTTAAGGCATGCCCCAAAACAACCCAAGAGCGCCATATAGTGGGGTAAAAAAGTATAGCAAATGGTTCATGAAGCTTCATTTGGTCGTCACTAGTCTCCAGTCTCTTCTATTGTATGCAGTTTGAGGCTGGAGTGTAGGTGTGAATCTACATGTTGTGTCCACATCGACTCCTGTCTGATCCACCTGACCTTTGCCCCCCCTTCAGCATTTACCTGGAATACACAGATGATGTCCTGAGGGCAGTGGAAGACATTGCAGGCACTGGGGTCACTGAGCTCATGAACACTACCAAGGATGGCAGCTCCAAAACCTTCCCCACTCTTAACAGGTCGGCCTCCCTTCCGCACACAGGGCTTGTTCTGTCTCTGAACACAAGGTGTTCGGGCTGATTCTTCAGCGTTAAGCTCATTTAGGATTCTGTGGGTGATCTATCTTCCAACTATGTATCCTGAACATGTGGTGAGTCGATATTTCAGTGAAACCAGAGCTATACTTGGCGTCTCATTCTTTGTTTCAGGCAGACGTTTTTAGTATTTTACCGAGGGATGATGGTCGAACTGGAGAAGTATGTGCACATGATCCCCCCTGCCAGACAGGGCGACAGTAACGAGGTACACCTTGAATTACCTTTAAAAGCAGTCTTGATAGCCTCCGAGCTCTTTCGGGTTTTAATATTGCTACCTCTTTATATGCCACCATAGCATAGTGTTCGAGAAGATGGAGAGTCTCATGGGTGTGCAAGATGTGGCTGCTTTTTGTCTGTTATTCGTTAGTCATCCTTATGATGAGGAAAGAAGACCATCTCCTCTGCCGCTCTTAGGTCCAGAGTGAGCGGCTCCTGACCTGGAACTTAGCTGTCAGGGACTTCCACATCCTAGTGAACCTGGTCAAGGTAATCCATGGAACATCCACAAAGACATCATTTTCTTCTTCTTTTCACATTTGTCATCTCAGGGATTTGCAAACTCTGGTACTTGCTGCCAAGTTCTAACTTCTGCAGTAACTGGCTTCACTTGTCCTGTTCCTTCAGGTATTTGACAGCAGGCCGGTGATTAATGTCTGCCTGAAGGTTGGTTTCTCACGCTGGACTTTGATCAGACACAAGCTATGTTATGACAGTCCTTAAAGAGTGAAATACTCTTAAAATACACTGGCTACTATCATAGGTATCAGCTGTCACAGGAGTTAAGATGAATTGCTGACCGTGTGTGTGTGTGTGTGTGTGTGTGTGTGTGTGTGTGTGTGTGTGTGTGTGTGTTTGCTTCATCTTGATAGTATGGCCGTCTCTTCCTGGAAACTTTCCTGAAGTTAGGGATGCCTTTACTGGACTTCAGTTTTAAAAAGCACAAGGTAAGGACCTATGTGTCTACCCTTGGTGAGGGACAAGTTTTGTTTTTTTTTTAGATAGATGAATTGGAGAAACATGTCTCAGAAGTGTGCAGATTTTCATTAACTGCCTTTTTAAGTTAATTTACTGGCCCTTTCCAGTGTCTGTTTTTCACATTCAAAGCTGAATGAATGTTGTCCTTTTCAGGAGGATGTCCAGAGCTTGTTGAAGACCTTTCAGCTGAGCACCAGACAGCTCCATCACATGTGTGGCCATTCCAAGGTACCTGCTGGTCCGCAGCTCCCTGCACCCATAATCCCCTGCTAACATAGTCACTCTGTCTCAGTGTGTGACTGCTGACTCTTCGTGTTTTGCACCCAGATCCGACAGGATACCGGACTAACAAATCATGTCCCAGCACTGAAGAAGAGCTTGGAGCAGTTTGTGTACCGGGTGAAGGCCATGTTGGCTCTGAACCACTGCCAGGAGGCCTTCTGGCTAGGCAACCTGAAGAACCGTGACCTTCAGGTATCTCTGGACTCCTTCCTGCCCAATGCTGTCCCACCCAGGGGTTTGTGCAAAGCAGGATCACTCTCATTCACTCAAACACACACACACTCACTCATTCACTCCTCTCTCTGACTGTATATTGTAGGGTGAAGAAATCCTGTCCCAAAGGTCACAGGCCGATGATCAGGATGAAGAGGAAGATGCCTCCCAGCTGCCAGAGGAGGAGTCCAGTGATGAGGTACAAGTGATTTGCTACCGTCATAAAGTTGGTTCACACAAGGGGAATGTGAGCCTAGATAATTAACCACTTTCTATTCTTACCTGATTCCTCCCCTGTGTCTTGGAGAAATGAAGACCATGAAAAGCACATAAATGCTTCCTGCATAACTCCAAAAATGTGATCTGATCTTCATCTTAATCATAAAAAGTCTTACTTAACTAAATATAACATTATCCATCAAGCACATTGATGAAACAAGTATTGATTGATTCCTTGATTTTAGCAAACCTCCTTCACTGGTAAAAACCTCAAACCAAATGTTTTTTTGTAGCTGCGGATCAGATGTGTCTGGTGCCCATTCCTCTATGCAAAACTGCTTATTTCATAAGTATTTCCGGGATGTCTGGCTTAAACAGCTTGCTTCAGCATTTCGGTTGGATTGTCAGGATTGATTTCATTTTTGAGATGCATTTTACTGAAAAGTGTTCACGTAGCATTGACCTAGACCGTGAACTCCTTCTCCCAGACAGGAACTTCCTGTTTTCCTAGTAATCAAATGGTTGCCTTTATGCTGAACCCTGAAATGGTTTTATATGACATCTTGCTAATTTTAGTTGAACTGCAGCACTGAGTAATCAAGTACACAGGACCTATATAGCAAAGAATAATCAGCATTGTCATATCAGTCAAGGATCCTATTTTGTTTGTCCTTCTTCTAAACCCTGACAATTCTTAATGATTCCACGGTATCCAGACCCTGAGGCTGCACAGGAGTCCTTCACCGTTATAGCCCTTCCACCACCATTCACAGTTGACTTAATTTTTTTCTTATGGAAGAGTCATGAACACAGATATTGCCAAGTATCACTTGTATGAGGACAGGCCAGTCCCACACCTGACTCTTTTCAAGAGGTCAGTATCCAAGAGGCTCACATACTGTTTCTCTCAATCACTTTGCTTGTTTAGACCATAAGATGTAGCTAAATTAAATGATGGTGTTTAACAAAACCGTCTTATTGATGGTATCCAGTGAGAGACTCTAGTCCATTATGGAGTATGATACCTGAATTTGCACCATGGACTGGAAGCAAGGCTGCTTTAAGGATCAGCAGTTTTACATTCATCAACAAAAGTGGTTTGTTTATAGCTAACAGAAATGGACCTGAATACTCAGCTCCTAATAAGTCCCCCCATCCCCCATTTAGGACTACAGAAGTGCACCAACATGTAAAACCTGCTGTAACTCACAAACATCTGGTTTTATAACCGTCTTCATTTCCTCTTTATTTGAAAAACTTTATACACCCATTCAATTCAGTCTTAAATCTCCCTGTGGATTGAGCAGATCTGATCATTGCTAACCCTCCTGGTGTCTCCTCTCGCAGGAGCAGAGCAGGGGCTCGGAGAAGAAAAAGAAATACTCTGAGGAAGAGGAGGCCACAGATGACTCTGACTGAATCGGCTCCGAGATCCTCCATATTGCTGCAAATGCATTTTCACTTCAGCCAGGTGGCTGATCTGCTGCACTCTATCCTGTTCATGACCCAGTGCTGTGGTTGATATGCTACTTCTGCCAAATGTACCATAATTGAATCCACTGAGTATTTGTATAATAAACACTAATTATTACTGCTGCACAAATATGCTATCTTTAGAAATCCAGTTCTGAAGTACAACAGAAAGCCAATGTTCTCATCTGGTGTATAGCTTTGAAAATTTAAAGAACAGCCGTTATACAATTTATCCTGAAGATTCATTTTTTTGAAGTAAGTGGTATATTCTCTGGCTTTTTTATGCTATCTTAATCTCTGTTACGATTTCATCAACATTTCAAGTGTTTGTGCCAGTTTTGAACTGGCTGACATCAGTAATTGTAACTCCAGTATTTGTGTCCCATTTCAGTTGAAAAGTGCAAGCCATATGACATAATTTTGGTCATGATGCATTTTTGACTGTAGGCAACTTTCGAGATGCTTATTAAAATAGCAATTAAATATATGTTTGTGCTTTTTTCCCATTTAACAATTTCGTAACTTTTTCATAACTTTTTTTAATTGCCTTCATTAATAGGCATGTATGAATTTACTGTTTTGTCAGGTCAGCAGTGTTAGTGTCATGAAGTGTGATTTTGTTTGTTGTTTTTTTTTTACTGTGAACTGCAGACAGCCCCACGTTAATCCTGCCTGGTAAACAGCCAGACCCTAGAAATAGCTTTGTTGCCCTAAACAGTGTTCTAGGAAGGGCCTTAAATGTATATTATGTATAATAATGATGCTACTTGATTCTCCATTGCACAAGCATAAGTATATAGAAATTATTTTGTTTTATATACAGGCAGTCACCAGGTTCTGAACAAGATCCATTCCCTAAGTCTGTCGAGTTTATAGGTAAATTGATACAGGTACATCTGGTTCTTATTTAGCGTCAATTACTCAAATGTTCCTTGTTTGTCTATGCATGTAAAACACTTAAGAAATGCTTCCGAATACACTAAAACATCTTAAACGTAATAATACAGAACATAATAATAATGATGTAGTAACAATAAAAGTAACTACATACGCTGACACCCTGCAGTGTTTTCATGAGCGTCACAAAGGAGTGTGCACATTCATTATTACGAACTACTGTATTTTCACTCCGAGTTTTAATATGCTTTATGGCAGTCCATTCATAAGTATGAGCTGTCTGTAAGTTAGATGTTCCTAACCAGGGGACTGCCTGTACTCAAGGACCCTTAAGAGATATGATTACTCTCCAAGCCACAGGACTTGAACTGGTGCCCTTTGAGCTGCAGGTATAGACTCCTAATCCAGAAAGCCATGCATGATATCAAGAGCAAGCGAGCAACGGCTGACTCCAGGAAAAGGGGAGGAGCTTGCCCTAGGTCCCACCGAGACGTGAACTCAGATTACTGGATTCTGCTGACCAGTACACCATGGGACCTCTCTACGAGAGAATGGTGAAGTAATATTTCTCCAAGGTCAAATATGTCACTTTTCACCTAGACAATGTTCAGTTCAACATTTCTTTTATTAACTTCTACATTCTGTGCTGTACATTGTTGTGCAGTCCCATTCTCATCTATCCTTGTTTTTTTTTTTTTTTTTTTTTTTTTGCTTTTTTTGAGATTCAGAGCCTGGGAAGAAGGTGTGTTGAAATATTTTTGTCCAGGCAAAACAGACAATATTCGGTGAACAACTGGTTAAAAAAAAAAACAGTCATAATGAGCTTTCACAACCCAGATGAATGTGTCTCAGTATTTTAGCTGAGAAACTGCAATAAGGGAAATTCCTGGAGATAGTCAGACAGTCACTTTCTAGAGAGAGCACTGAATGTTTAACTGAGGGCATCTCAACAGGGATTCTTGAATGACCTTGTACTTTAAGATCTTAACCTTATTTGTAAACCTTAATCTAACCATTTAGATCTCTGTCATAGCAGACTGGTTCAGCCTATCCACTGATGACTTCTTGTCCAATAAGCACATTATACTACAATATCTTCACCCTTTTATATATACTCCTCAATACTGACACTTAGTGGTTAGTTTATATGATGCTTCATGTTTTTTTATTTTTTTTATTTCCTTAATTCTTTGTCATTCAATCGTACTCCCATTGTTCTCTCTGCCTAAAGGGCGGCGTTTAAACAAAACAATGATTTTCCTCCTTGATGCAGAATACATCTGCAGAAAGTTCCTGTTTTTTGGTGTCATGTTGCAGTTGACTGTCTCTGTTAACTGCAGGCTTCCAGTGAAATGCACAGTGAAATGACGTACACAATGGCCTTCAGTAGCTGCATCCTTGGGACCAGTTTGGAGTGTGCAGCCAGATCAGGACTGATTAAAATCTACCAGCAACACCCAAAGGCTTTTTCACCAACTCATTTTAGCTGCAGATCTTGTATCATGTGCTGCGTTTGAGCGAGTCTTGTGTCCAGCAACGGCTCTGTGATAGAACTGTTTTAATCCTCCACCAGGGCGTGAAATTCTGTGATGTGAATGTCATTATGGTATCTTAAGGTCTCCACAATGATGGGAATTGAATCTCTGTGCCTTCCATATGTGCGGCAACAGTTAACTCAAACACCGTCAAATGAAAATGGGTGTGGAATCTTATCACTTATTTTTCAACCATGAATTCAAAATGATTCTTTTTCCTGTTGTGTTGAAAGCTCTCTTTTCCTGGGAGTTGACAGTTTCTTCACTGTTCCCTATCCTTTCTGAAGACTGATAAGCTGATACCCTTATTCAAAACGACTTCCACAGCAAACATCATTAAAATTTACTGACTGATGTATACTGACATACAACTCTGGAAAAAATTAAGAGACCACAGCAAAATGTTTAGCTTCAGTCATTTCTCAATTTATAGGTATGCGCCTGTGCAAAATATACCTTATTTTTTGCAAACTGCAGCCTGGTTCTCTGTTTCTCAATAATGAAGGGCTTCTTCCTTGCTTTATGGGATTTCAGTCCTGCTTCTAGGAGCCCGATACGAACTGTCCTTCACACCTACACTTAATGTCTCCCATTTCTTTTGAATGTCACTTGATGTTGTCCCCCGATTCATGAGAAACTGTCAGATTAACGATCATCTCCGGCATTAGAAAGTTGCTTCTGCCCTTTACCTGGATGGTTTCTGGTCATTCCCAGTGTCTCCTGCTTCACTTTATACTTATATACTGCCATCTTACAAATTTTGAACCCAGAAGCAACCTGCCGCTCAGTGTAGCCTTCTGCCAGCAGAACCAGGATTAAACCAGGATTTAACAATGCATATTCTTAAAATATATGGGGTGGTCTCTCAATTTTTTCCAGAGCTGTATGTATGAAGTATACACCACAATATGGCACTAATTATTCCCCGGTTACCTGCCTGACATATCAGATATGGGTAGATACAGAGGACCAGCAAACCAAATGGCGATCGTGACTGTCTTGTATATTCTTCATGGCTTTTTCATGGTGAAGCTGTCTATAGTTAACCTCATGCGAAATAGAAGTTCATTCCTCATGGGTATATTTCCAGAATTAAAACTCCCCAACCTGCTGTTGATGAGTATTTAACACAGACTGCCTGATGGAATGGTAGCAGAGTGTCACAATCAGAAGTGTTTTCAAGTTAATTTTCCTGCAGGCCCCCGATCTGCTCAGCATCAGCTCTGCATGTTGCCACTACCTCCCGGAGCAGATAAGGCAATTGAGTGAGAAAAGCTGGACTAATATCAGAATAATGCAACAAACTGGCTCTAATTTATATGCGGTTACTGCCTGCTGAACTGTCATGCGGGATTCATCCGGTCTGAAGTGTCCAGAGCTCAGTGGATCCCTCTGTGTAGCTCCAGACTCCTGCATCATTCAGCTCCAGCAGAGCAGCCAGAACAAGTCAGGAGCCTTAATTAGCCTGCTGTCCAGCCAAGATGGGCCTGCAAAGACGTCCCTGCCGCTCCTGTAAGTTCAATGTCACCTTTGCGTGCCACACCGGAGGATGAGCTGGTCCCGAGTGGCTAAGAGTCTTGTCCTAGTTCTAGTTTTTGAGCTCATGGATATGGGCTATGCCATTGTGCAGAGAGGGTGCATCTGTCAAGCTTCATGGACCTCAGGATCAGCAGAACATGAGGAGTCACCGTCCACTGGGCAGAAGAAGCTACATCTGAAGACACCTGTCAGGTCACTCTGTGCTCCCGCTGACATCGTTTCTGCTGAATGAATAAAAAACAGAAAACGGTGAGTGGAGAGTGCTCTGGTACCTAGCCGTTCCTACGGGGCTCATACTTCTATGTGTCTTTAGTAGGAATTGTATAGTGTGATCAGCATGAGGCCTCGGTTCCTGTGGTGTTTTGGAACATTTGGGTTTCAGGACTCAGATCCTCTGCTTAAATTCCCCTGGGTATGTAATTAAAAGCTCCTGGCAAAGATCCTCTACTTTCTGGGAACAGAGAGGTGGGGAGGGGTTGTGCATAATGAGGGCCCCATTGAAGTTATTTTGTCCCCATCCTGGAAATTATGCATGACGGGCCTGTCTGTACACCCTGATGGAGTTCCCCAGAACTGAGGAATATGCCCTTATCTGTCAGCACAGTTCACCTTAAGTGAAGACATCTTGTCCTTCCTGCCAGCTACACTAAATGTGTGGGCAAAGCAGACACTTTTTATGGGATGCGGACCCTGCTGACTTTTTCCTGGTAATTATGTAGGTTGCACTTGGTTTTTGCACAATGTTTATCTTTGCTCTGCTCTGATGAAAACCTCCACTGTATAAAGGAAGTGATTTACTATTTGCTCTCATTCTATGTCTCTTTGAGCAAAAGCTCCTGCTAAATAAGTGTTAAGCAACAAGCAGCGAATGCTGAGGGACACATTTACACAAATCACACACAAGAATGGGACTGTTCTTAATGTTTTTGTGTGCTTTACTGAAGCCCCCCATCACCCTGACTAGGAAAGACATCTGCGACATGTATGGGTGAAGCTTCCTGGGGTTACAAAAAATGTTATAAAAAGGTTCTTGAAAGGTGCAGAATGCTGCTTTAATAAGGGGCTTCAACAAACTCGTATTTCACACAAGGCCTCTTGCAAAAAGTTATGAGTACACATACTACTACAGCGACATGTACTTCCTTGGTGCTCAGGCCTGACAGTTTCCCTGTGGGCTGATGGGTTTGTGGGCCAGCCCTGTCAGTACTTATGATCTTTGAGTCCTTTTCACATGCACACAGATCTCTCCTGTCTACAAGCAGCTGCCAAATGATCATGGATTAAATGCACACAGCAGTTACACACAGCTTGGTTTCTTCCACCTCACCTCATACTAACGGAGACAGATGTCTTTAAGTTTTAGCATCGCCAGTCAGCATTGTCTCACTCCTCTATGGAGGTACTGGACCTCTGTCTGGCTGTGATCAGTGCTGACCCTATTTGACCTTTCTAGCTAGATGTACTCATGCTTCATGCAGACATCTTCATGACAGAAGTCAGATACACTGCAGAGTCTTAGCAGTTTAGGAGCCGGAAGTATGTGGCAGAACAAAGTAATCAAGGGGGGAAAAGAGCAGCCTTGGGGACTGGAGAAATAGAGTATATGGGGTATATTGATTTCGGTGAAGGGAGGGTGCTCTGTTTTTGAGGCTGACAGACGGGCAGAGGACTGCCCATAACCATCTGTCCCTCCAGGGGCATGAAGAATCTTCACATGATAGCCTCCAGCACACATCTTTTAGCAGAAACCCTCCATGCCGCGCGGGTTAAAACCTCCTCTGGGAGTGTCATTGGGCTGGGAGACACACTTCATGTCTGACTCACAAACTGCCATCTCAAGTGTTTTTCCCAAACATGTTAAGATTAGACTCTTTTTTTTATATTCATCACAGAATGATGAAGATCTTGGCCTCAGCCTGAGCACCATTCTTGCTTTGTTTTACAGGGACATCATCTTTGTGGTTTGGGAAAGTGCTAAAAATCGACCTGCAGGTTTTCAGGCTCAGCTGCCGTGATCTGCTGTTTTGCTCTTGTGCAAAACCACCTCATAACCCAAAGAAAATATATGTAAGATGCATTGAAATAACTGGATTGTGTAATTTATTATAACACTAGAAAATACCTTTTTTCTCTGTGCCAGATATGAACAAATGCAAAGGAAGAAAATTCCTGACATTTGCACCCTCTCGACCCAAAATCCAAGTGCAAGGTGCCCATGACTTGTATAAAGAAGCAAAGGATCACTGTCATCTCAGGCAGCATAGGGAGAAATGGCTGCGGTTCAGCCTCATTACAGAGCAACGCTGACCTGCTGAATAGTTTCTCTTTCTCCCTAACATTATGTCACAAAGTATTGCTGATTTTTAAGTAGGAAGAGAAGCTTACATTATAAACCTGCACAGCACTTAATTCAACAATTCCAAACAATTACACTGGCCTTGTTATTTCAAGGGAATGCAGTGCAGGTTACTACAGCAACTGGAAGCCCAAAGCCTTCTCTGGGTCATCTGAGGGTGTGCCCCATCATTTAGGGTGTGCTGCAAGGGGACTGTCCCAGCATAGGCCGCGGGGTGGAGGCCCCAGGACAGACCCATGATAGAGGGATTATAGCTCCCAGCCGGCTTGGGGATGTCCTGGGATCCCCCAGAACAAGCCAGAGTCTGTGGCCTTGGCAAGGGAGGCCTGATCTGACGTGCTTAGCCTGCTGCCACCACATCCCTCACTGAGAGAAGATGGATGGATGGTTGGAGTATCTCAATGTACTTTATGAGGTAAAGTAAAACTTCCTTCCTAAACCATAATTTGTTCCCTAGAACATCTTAGATGTGATTAAAGGTAAACAACAACAAAAAATATGGTAGAATTTTGTGCAGCAGTCTACCACCAGAATTCATATCAGTTACCCTTGGAGCTCTGTTTGTTTGGTCTAGACTATATATTATAAAGAACCTGATTATCTTTAATAAACATAGCTGTGGAAGCCATTTCTTATCTTGTATGTGTGTCTCGCTTGTCCTTAACATCTTCACCTCTCTACCCAGCTTATTTTTATACACAGGGCACTGCAGATCTGGCATGGAGAATTTCCATCAAACTGTGTTATTATTTATTGATTACTGTAGAGTGTAGAACATAAGAAGATAAGAAATTTAGAAACAAGAGGAGGCCATTCGGCCCATCAAGCTCGTTTGGGGAGAACTTAACTAATAGCTCAGAGTTGTTAAAATCTTATCTAGCTCTGATTTAAAGGAACCCAGGGTTTTAGCTGTAGACTCTGCAGTAATGAAATATTTGTCCTCACTGACCCAGTGGATTTCAATGTGTCCAGATACAGCCACTCACTAACACCAGCTGCCAGGATGTGGGATCAAACATGTTTGTCTAAAATTGCTTTTGTACAGTAAAATCTCGTTATAGCGGACTCGCATATAACAGAATTTCGCTTATAACGGACAAACAATTTGGTCCCCAGGGCCACTTTTAGCTGTAGTTTTGTTCGGCTATAACGGACATGCAGGCTCCGCCTACAAGGCGCGTGGCGTGCCGGTGATATCCAGCGCAGATACGTAGTCGGGATTATTAATAGTCACGCATCTGCTCAGGTAGAGTTGGATTACTACATGTACAATATAATAATCTATACCACAAGTGTGTCTGCTGGGATGTGGCATGAGTAAATGGTGTCCTGTAGCTGTATTCTGGGCATACAGCAACGCTAGATATAACAGACTTTGGATATAACGGACTGTTTTGCCAGGTTCCTTGAAGTCCGTTATAACTGGATTTTACTGTATGTATGGGGGTGGCATAGGCACGGGGGCCAATTAGCCTGTATTCGGAAGTCATTGCCATTTTGGAGTCCAGATTAAAAGTGCCTTTTTCTCACCCTTCCCAGAGTCACACCAAGCTTCCAGGCTAGGATCCTATTCACCGTGTTCATGAAGGCAGCCTGCATAGCCTTGCTATATAGAAGAGGCTGCTGCAGACTTTATTGTTTATTGTCATCGTCTCTTCTCATAAACCAGGGCCATGTTCTCACAAGCACCCATGACCAGGATGTCCACTGCTGAGGAACACCACTGACGTCGCTCATTTGTGGAGGCAGGGAATTTCAAGCTTGCTATCCTACCAAAAGATCTGTCAAAAGTACAACGCCGGCTCCCTTGATGGGACCTTTATGGAAGTACCTTGAATACCAACTCACCAGCACATTTTGTGTGCTGTGGAAGAGCAGGAACACTAAGAACCTGTAATACATTCAATCGTAGACTGAAGTTCTCCCCAATGATATGGCTGACATGCTTTTGGGGACTTGGTGACAGAGTGAGGACGGTGGCTATAGCTCACCTGGGCGATGAGTCCCCTGAGCTCTGCCCGCTCCACCTCCCAGATGGCCTTGGCCTGAGAAAGCTGCTGAGCCAACTCCACTGACCGCTGGTGCTCCTCCTGCAGGGCAGCGCTCAAGCTCTGCAGCGCCCCCTTCAGTTTCAGCACAGTACTTCCTGGGTCAGTGCTCCCCTAAGCATGGGGACGATAAGTGCGTGTCATGACGGGGTGTGGGGGCTGTAGCAAAACCACTGTATTTCAGCATGTTATGAAGTGATTTTTCAGCTGCCCTTCATCCAGACAATATATGCAAACTTCACACACGTATAGATCAGGGCAGGATTCAAACCCCATTTCTGGAGGTTATAAAATAATAATAATAATAATAATAATAATAATAATACACCCACCATTTTACTTCTTTACTAGCAAATTCAAATAGAAAGCTGCATAAACCAGTCACCCCCAGTGGTCACCTGCTTTCTTCCCATTGGATAGAATTCCACAGATAGCTCCTCCCACGTGGGAACAGGCCACTCCCCCTCTAGCAGCTGACAGAGGTCCTTCAGCCCGGCCATCTGCAGAATCCATTATTTTCACTTTTATTCATGTTTAAGTATCACTTTGCTCGCTCCTTCATTACCAGAATTAGCTGTTTATCTGCCTCACCATGCATTCCCAATTTATATGTACAATGTTTAGTGTAAGTTTACACTATTTAAAAGTGTTGCATTAATCTAGTTTGAATCCAGGATATTCCATTTTTTTGCTGTGAGAGTGATCATACCCCCGCCCCTCCCCCCCCCAGCTCCTGACCTGGGGGCCGGCGTTCCCATCTGGGTCCCGTGCCTTGCAGTGCCGCCACTGCTCCAGGAAGTGGCACAGTCTCAGTACCAGCAGTCTCAGCTCCTGGGACTCGCTGTCTGGGCCCTGTGGCAGGGGAGCCAGCGACCGTGCTGACAGCCACGCCCGTGTCCCCGTGCACGCCCGTGTCCCCGTGCACGCCTGCAGCGGGAGAAGAGTGCTGGACAGTGAGATGGGAGGAGGCGCTGACCTAATTCATAGCTCTGTCTAAGCATAACAATCTACGATATTTTTTGTTTTTTAACAGGAGCTACAGAAGACTATCTCAGGACTTATTCCAACAGCCTTTTAGAGGTAATATGATTTTGGGAGGTTTTCTCTGAAATTTAGACATGCAGGGTGATTTGTTCCGGAAGCGTACCATTTGCAGCCCTGCAGATTCCCCAACTGGGCAGCTCAGCATGCTCGCCTGGTGCTGCAGGAGGGCTACGGGCTCCACGCTGCCGCCCTCGGCCCCGTCTACCTGCCCTCGTCTAGGGCTGCACTGCGCCCCCACGCCCTCAAGGAGGCCAAACAGGAGCACCTGCAGTGCCTCCAGCCTGCTGGCCAGGGGCATCCCAGAGGAGAGGAGCGGCTCAGCAGACAGAAGACGTGTTTGCCGGCTGGCACTGTGTCCCCTGAGCAGCTCTAAGGCTGAGCTGATGAGGTAGGCCTGGTTTTGAATGACCATCCAGGCCTCCCGATCACTCAGTCTCATGGGACCACAGTCTTTTTCTGCCATCTTCTCTTGCTCCTCCTGGGGGTCCTGCTCGCCCCCCACGGGCCCCTCACGAGACATCTGGCTCCCAGTGAGGTCAAGGGCACGGGTTGGATCTTCATGAGGGTCTCTCCATGTCTGGCATCCACCACTGACAGATTCTTCTAGTGATGCCTCTGTCAGGACAGAGCAGCTTTCCTTGGAGAACACTACTGAGTCCACCTCAAGGTCCAATCTCCTCCCTAACTGCTGGTTCTTCTCCTCCACCTCTGCCAGCGAGCACCGCAGGAGTTCAGTCTCTTCCTCCATAAACCGCAGATGTCTCCTGAGCTCCTGAATGCTGTCCCCCGGCTCCGGCCCCACCTTCTGGCCCCTCATCTCCTCCATCTCCGCCCGCAGGCCCCGGTTCTCCACCTCCAATTCCACGATCCGTCGGCTCAGCAGATTGGCTTCCTCCTCCACCAGCTTCAGATGAACTTTGACCTCAGCTTCCCGGGAATGGGGGGTGTTGTCTGGGGCTTCCTCAGGTAGGGGGGTGTCCGCGTGGCCGTACAGTGATCGGAACTTGGCCAGCTCCTCCCGCATGGACTCGCTCTCCTTGGCTGTCTTCGTAAGCTTCTTGCACATGAGCAACGTCTCCTCTTTGGCGAAATGTAGCTGGCACTTGAGGTCGGCCATATCATCCTACATGTCACAGGGAGACAAGCGTGACATCACGCTGGGTCAGTGGGTGTCAACCTTTTATTCAGTTTTCATAACCATTAATGAAATTTCGAAGTGCTGTTAGGTGTACGAGGTACATAGGTACAAAAATAATGATTTACATGCGGGTATGTGTAATGTCTTTGTGTTCCAGTGGAATTGAAGCAGGGTGGGTATTATACTGCTTGATAAAATCTTCTAGGTAGCTTTCAAAAATATGCTAAGAAAAATATAGGATTGTTCCAAAGGGTGGGAGGGGCATATCATTTAGGAGAGTTTGTCCTTTTGTCGCTGTTCCTGTACAACAAAGGATCGCCGTGAAGTTGGACACAGACACGAGTCCATCTTACCTGGGGGGTCTTCTTCTCCGGCTTGCTGGCTGAGCCTTTTGCTCTTCTTTTCCTCAGGGAGTTCTGCCAAGCAAGGGGACGCTGTGTATAAATACACGCCGCAGTATCTATGGTAGTATTATGGTAGTATTATTTACTGTCATTTGTTATGAATTGTTTTGTTTGGAACTCTGATCTGCAGGATGCACAGAAGTACTAATTTCATTGTATCATGCATACATGAAAAGAAAACGCCTGGAAGCCACGATAAAGCATTGAGATACGACCTGAGAACCACCTTTCTTCAATATATAAGTATGATCTATCTACTTCTAAAATCCACCCCTCATATATAATCAAACTTCCAGCATTGAACATAACATTCATGGGACTGGACTTGTGACAAAATATGTTTCTTGTGCAAATCCTAGCAAGGCTCGGGTATTAACATATAAACAATAAAATAATATGGATATTCAATAAAAATCATGCTCATTCAAGTTGACCTGTCACGTTATTCACATTATTGATGACTTTTAACCCAATGATAAATGAACCCAAACGCCACACTGTAATTTTACTCATTCTGCCACTGATGACACCGTTGGACTGTCTGCTGCACATGGCTCAGCTGCTTCCATTTCCAAAAAATGTGCAGACTCAGAAGGACAGACATTTAATCTCCGAATATTGAGTGTATTCCGATACCCTGGCTGAAACATAAGGATTACAACCGACTTGAGATCATTACCAAATGGGTCTTTTTAATGGCAACAGAAAAGGTAACAGCAGGGTTAATAATAGCCGTGAGTCCTGAGCCAGCTCAAGCCCTGGTGTCCAATTACAACCATTAGAAAAATGCCGCCCAATCATGGACACTTTTAATAATGCTACGATAATTCAGTACAAGAATTAGTGGTTGGAAGACGGATGGATAGATTAGTCGTTAAACGTTAAGAGATCTTACTAAAACATGGCGTTCTGAAGCTCCATGGCCATGCAGATGGACAGGAGCATCTCTGTGGCATCTCCTTAGATCACGCCGGGTCCTGGCAGCTGCTCACTCTCATTCCCAGCTGCTCCCCTCCCACCGAGCCACAGATATTATCTCTCCACTCTCCCAGGCCTCACCCCCCCCCCCCCCCCCCCCCCACTCCCATGATGTGGAGCTGAAGCCACAGGCTCTGCTCTGAGTACCATGTCCCAAAGACTGAGTGAGAGGCCGTCACTAACCCTTTGAGCACCATTGATGAGACCGGGGAACCGTTCGCTGTGCTCAGCTGCCTCCATTTACATAAAATCAGCAGTGCAACCCTCCTTTCCAAGCCAAATCCAGGCCCTACAGAGGGGAAAACAAGCAGCGCCCCCTAGCGGGTGGGAGGAGTCTCTTAGTAAACATTAAGGTCTTTCCCCTCGACTCTTTGACCTTGGCAGGCTTGAGGAGGCAGAGGGGCCACCTCATAGTTTTATCTACACAGCATAAGCTCAGAGCTGCCTCTGCTACAGGGTGTCACTGGGCACCGTGTATGAGTGTGTAGGCCGTGTGTGTGTGTGTGTGTGTGCTTACGGGGGTATTTTCCTGGTTACCTATGCTGCCATCTTCCAAGGCATCACGTACCAGAAGATGCACTTGCATAATTTTTTCATTTGTCTTCTACTGTCATTATGGATAGATCAACTTCCCTACTGGTTCTAACTAAACATTTTTAAGCTGCTTGGATTTAAACAGTAAGGGCTCAAGAGGGATATTTCCCAACCTCTTTATATAGATATAAAACTCACCCTAAACCATGTGTAATATCCATCTACAGAGAGCCTTTTGAGATTCCTGACCGACAAGAGCCAGGAACAATGCTGTAAATCATGATTCTGCCATCCATTTAAAAGAATTTGGTCAGATATTGTTAAGTCAAAGCATTCATGTTATGTGCCACACTTCGACAATAATGTCCTGTCTAGGATTTGAACCCTCTAGCCTCGACTTTAATGTCATATTGGGAATGCGACCAGCTGCCTGCCGACACACGATACCCTCTGTCTTTCATCTCTTCTCATCTCTCTCTCTCCTTCGGGGAAAGCTAAGCTCTTTCATTATCGCTGAGCGCCTTGTTGCCGGGAGCCTGAAGTGGATGCAAGACCCAACGTTGGTTTCCATTCTCCCCAAAATTACCCACCCCAAACCCCTGAAAATCTGTCCTTTCTCATAAGTCACCAAATTTGGATTAAGTCCTGGCTACGTACAGGGAATAGGGGATGGGGTCTGAGATCAGTGTTGATCTCTGCTCTCGCTTATTCTGTCTCACACACAGATACAGACATGAACAAACATTCCTACTCCTATGCTTTCCCTCCTTTTACAGACAATGGACAGAGCATTGCCATAACCCTTAGCATACTGCCAGATTTTACAGAGTATTTGGGGGCGGGGAGTAGGCTTTGCAGGCAATACGTCTGATGAGAAAATAAAACATTGACCAGTTTTTAATCCTTATGATCCTGGTAAGGAGTCTATATCCCAACTTGTGCAAGAATAGAGAGTCACGGGAAATAAGTTTAAGATGAAAAAACCTACCCACCCCAAGTCAATGTGAAACAGAAATACAACTTTTATAGGATAAACCAGGCATGCATTTCATGTAAAATGTGAAATCAACCACAAATTGTCATTAAATTACAGACATATTTTAAATGCCAGACCACTAAATGATAAATGCCTTTGCATAAGAGTGTACTGATAATATTCATAGGCAGGTCTATAATATATACAGTGACTTTAAACACATAATGATGTTGTTACCATGGAGATGGACAATGACTCCTCTGGTAGCTTATTTGCATTTTCCAGATGATAGCAGCTCAGAACCAGGTTCTCAATCATTCAGTCTGGATGTGAACCCAGCAGGAGATTCTCCCGTCAGTCACTCTCTCAGGGTTAGGGTTAGGGTTAGGGTTCTGGGAGACCCATTTTCTCTCTCTGCAGCTGGCACTCTGGACCTTGGTTACTCCCAGACTCACTGTCCCTGAGAATGAGGAAACCTTTGAAGGACTCAGTGGCTCTTGGAGTCAGTGCCCCTGGTCTTCTGCACCTCTGCTTTATCCTGCCTATTGCTCAGTGACTTTGATTCGAGGATTTCAACACCATCAAAGCATCAGTAGAGCAATTCCATGACACACAGTCAGATTCTCACCTTATAACAGTCACATCTTGATTCACCTCACTGGAAACAAGACAGTTCATGTTGAACTGACTGATTTATGTTTATAAATATATCTGGGTGTGTATGTGTGTTAAAACTAATAAGGGAAAACCACAGGCCAGCTCTTCTGCTGTGTTTAAAAATAGAGAGCCTGTGGAATCCTCCGTCTCATTAACCCGGCCTTCCTCTCTCAGCACACGCAGGCAGCAGACTGTGAGAATGTGCGCTATGGCGAGAATCCTGCCCCTGTACATCTGCTGCTATGCCACCCTGCTCCACCCGAACCCCAGCTGCTGGACCTGCTCATGACCCGGGCAGCTACACAAGGTCACAGCCTCAGTCACTGGAGGCTCTGTGGGAATTAGGGAGGGGCATCTCTTACACATCACTGCGGTGTATGGGTTCTATGGGGAAAGAAGGTGGGGGATCCCCACATCACAGTGAGGTAGGGTTTCTATGAGGAAAGAAGGTGGAGCGTCTCTTACACATCACAATGAGGTAGGGGTTCTATGGGGAAATAAGGTGGAGCGTCTCTTACACATCACATTGAGGTAGGGGTTCTATGAGCAAAGAAGATGGAGTGCCTCTTACACATCACATTAAGGTAGGGGTTCTATGAGCAAAGAAGGTGGAGCGTCTCATACACATCACATTAAGGTAGGGGTTCTGTGAGCAAATAAGGTGGAACGTCCCTTACACATCACAATGAGGTAGGGGTTCTATGGGGAAATAAGGTGGAGCGTCTCTTACATATCACATTGAGGTAGGGGTTCAATGAGCAAAGAAGGTGGAGCGTCTCTTACACATCACATTAAGGTAGGGGTTCTATGAGCAAAGAAGGTGGAGCGTCTCTTACACATCACGGGGAGCATGACATTAGAGTTTAAACACATTTATCCGAAGACAGGCTCAAGTTACATTTAACCCTGGATCACTTCTGGGCACGCTGGAACACCCAGCCTTAAATTTGCACTGTACAAGAAGTAGCAATGACAGTCAAAGTGGATGCCGTGTTTGGCAGTATTTTTATACTGAATCTAATGCTTTATGAAGTAAAAGTTTCCATCGAGTACAAGTAGTTTTATAACAAAGGGGGAAATCAGGTTCATTTGACACTGGCATTATAAGCGAGGGGTCTCATTTCCTACATGCTCTCCGCCACCTGCTCCCCCCCGCTCCCCTCCCAATTTTGGGTCCCTTTCTTTATTTAACAGTTGCTATAAGGTAAGCTGATATTCTTTACTTTTATGCCTGACTGCAGTCAGCAAAGCAATGGAGCTGCCTATGGTCATAAAATGGATTCTGTTAAGATTCCCAGTTATGTTTCAGGTTACGCAATGCAGCTCACCTGGTATACTGTGAAAAACAAAATCATTCACTTTCAAAAATGATGTTTTATGTTAAATCAGCAACAAGTGAATGGCTTTAAAATGTTGGCTCACAAAAGCATATAAACACTAAAAAAACACAATATCACAAGAACAAATTAATTATACGTACTGACTAAATTATTAATGTGTAATCTGCTTCAGTTGTATGTCACTTTGGATGTAAAATCTAAAATAAATAATTGGAAACCAGCTTAGTTCTGAACAAAACAATGAACATGTTTATTTATAAAACTGGTAGTCGTTCTTCAGAGTTACTCAGAGTAGCACTTTTTTACCAATTAAGTTTTTCTGAGTACATGCAACAGGGTTGCCAACTTTGGTCAGGTGGCTGGTGTGAGATTTTCAATTCAAGACAAGTCTGCACACATGTATGTGACAGTTTTATTACCTTGTAAATAGTATGTAAGGTTCGCAAACGACCCCAATGCTTTTGATGCAGCTAATTTTAGGTCTATAGGGGAATGATATAGATTTGCTGTAAGATTTCTGGCGTAAGCGTAAGTCAGAAAGCATGAGTGTCGCGCCAGATGCGTGAGATTTGACACCCATGTTGTAGTACTTCTTGTTCTGTTACATCCTTTAACTGATCCAGGATCAGCATGCCAGCCATACCTCCCTGGCCTTGTCCGCTTCAGCTCGCAGCACCTGGTTGGCCACCTCCAGGTCCAGCACCTTCTCACGCAGCTCTTGGTTGTCCCGCTCCAGTCGGGCCCGGTTCAGCTCAGTGGCACTCAGCTCTGCATGTAGGCGTACTGACACATCCCTTGCCACCTGGAGCAAAGGTGGGGTGGGGGGCACAGGATTGGAGTTTCAAAAATATGATTTTTTTTGTCCATCATCAAACTTTTATGAAATGTTGTTTATAAACAGCTCCAATAATATGCCTTTAGAAATCCTCCAGTCAAGGTTGTCTGGTACTTACATTTCCAATGCTTTTAAAATTCTATAAATAATAATCTTGTTATCCTGTAGGGGATTAAAGTGTTTACATTTGTGTGGGCATTAGTGAGGTCGTGCTGTTTTCACATGTCTCACAATCCGACGGCCCTCCCCCGTCTTTAAGCAGGTCAGGGAGGTAGCCCCCATGTGTTTTCTCAGCTGTGGAGTCATGTTTTACAGCACCCTGTAAACAGGCCGTTCACCGAGCCGCCTGAGGATTCTCTGGCTTTGCCTTCTAAGGTGCTGCGTTCAGAATTCCAGCGTTTATCAGCTAGCGTGAGCTCCTGAGCAATGGCCCATTGGAAAGCTGGCCAGCAGTCACTCATGGTACAGTATTACACAACTACTTGGGAATTCTTTGATTTTCACTTATCTCTTCTTGCTCTCCTATGAAGGCAAAGCTTACAATGCCTTTTCACTGGCATATAGGAACCGACTCGTACCTGAGCCGTCCTGCAAAGTGAGACTAGTTACAGCACAGTTCCGAGCCGTCCTGCAAAGTGAGACTGGTTACAGCACGGTTCCAGCTCGCTTCAGTTTGCCACTGCAGAAATACAGACACAGTAAAGTCGCCGGATTTGAGGAGTGACAGTGATTTAAAACTGAAAAGATACTTATTTACTGTTCACACGGTGTACATCAGGATTTACTATGTGCTAATTTCCACAAGTCTATGAGAATTGCTGTCTTATGTTAGCATCAAAGGCATCAAAACGATAGCGGACTTAGCATTTGCTTGCCTGAATTTACATTAGGAATCCATTCCGTTCCATTGTTCTATGGTACTTCTTTAAGTAGGTGGCTGGAAATTTTCAAGTTCTGAGTTATAAGAAATGCATCAATACAATGCAATGCAATGTAACTGGTAGTGAATAATATATATAATATATTTTTTCCTTCAGATAATCCATGCAAGAACACTGGTATCTGCAGGGCCCTGTCAGCACAGGTTCAGCTCTGGTACGACTTTACAATGGAAAACCGTCAGTTCATGGTTTGGCTCGGGTACAGCTCGGTTCTTGGTGGCAGTGGAAAAGCGCCACAGGGTCAGAGCACAGGGATTGCCTGCTCATGCCCACAACCCCAGGCTACTGCAGAAACAGCTCCCACAAAGGACGAAGCATTATTTTGCACCAAAAACGATTGCAGTCCTGTGACACTTCTGGGGTGTCAAAGACAAATCACCTACAGGTTCCATGTTCCTGCTAACATCGACCCATATATTCCAGGTACACTTTCTATTTTTAGCTCAATTTTTACCACTGCATTTCAGGTCAAAGTCATTTTTTCAAGAGCAGAACAGCAGCAGTGTTCTGGGGTCTCAAACCAGCACCCCAGTGGTTCAAAGTCTGATTATCAATAGCTGTATAAATCATAATCAGTTCTGAATCGGACTCCCTGTCAGCCTACTAGAGGAATACATTACACTGTTGATTTTAATTAATTTAGTGCTATTCCAAAATTTGGAAGAGATCACTCTTATGAGCCATCTTCAGCAATCAACAAACGTCTGGTACTAACTATGGTGTTAGAGCTTTTTATTTGATTGGGTTCATCCTTGGCTTTCCCTTGAGTGGCACATTGATGGGCTTCAATCCAAAGTTTGGAAGTGGAACCTTATCACTGTAAGTCAGTTAGCTATTTCTCTTGAAAAGTAAAAGGGCATCATGACCAAAACTGCCACTGCTATATTTCAGTTTCCTTCACATAAGATTAGATTAGATTAGATTAGACTTCAATGTAATTTGAAGGTGATTACTGTGCCTTAACTGAGTGGTACTTTCTACAGTACTTTGGTAAGCTGTGTTTAAATGTGTTCTACAAATAAAATGTTCTACTTACTTGCTAATATTGAAGAGATTAGGGGCATATTGTGTAGGAACAGCTGCCTTTACTTATGTATTACTTATGTAGACCAGTGACAGTACCGCCTTAATGTAATAAAATGCTGAATGACAAATGTGTGAAAGTGGAGGACAGCCATAGAAATGGTGCAAAATTGTCTCTGTTCTCTAGGCGGTCTTTGGGTAAAAACCCTGCGCCGTTTTCCCTTTGCTTTGGGAGCAGTACAAATTGCTGACTCAGCATGCATATTGTGTCTCTTTGTCATGAGTCCAGTCAGTGACAAGGTCAGTACAATGAGAAAGATGCACAAGACAGGGCCTGGAAGCAGCAGGTTACATGCAATAAATAACCTATATGGAAAGTAACCAGGACATCCCAGCATGCTGAACCACACTTTCATGGGTGTCTGCAATCATGTGATTAAAAGCCATTTCCTTGTTTGTGACCCCCCCCCCCCAGCTCACATTTACTATGATCATTTTGAAGCAGCGTTTCAAATGCAGCTATTTTTGACCCCTGACTGGGCTGCTGTCCTTGATTGCAGATCTACAGCCTGTGCTGCTGGGGACTGGAGAGAGCATGTGCACAGCTGGAGGGCCTGACCACAGAAGTGCAAGGAGTTTTTTTTCCTCTTTGCCTGAAGGACACACAGCAGTGCGTGTGGTGGGGGGGGGGGTAAATCTGTGTCCCCATTTACACAGTTCCCCTCCTTCCTTTCCCCCCCCCCCCCACCCCCCCACACACACTCACCTTGATGTCCTGCTCCAAAGCGCGGACCAGCTCTCCATCCACCTGCCCGGTGCGAGCCACACGCATGCTACGTCGCTCCGCCTTGCGCAGGTGGTACTGCAGCACGCGGCATGTGCGGTGGGCACGCTCCAGCTGCGCCCGCAGCTCCTGCAGCTGCCCCTCGTCCTCCTCCAGGAAGGCATCCCGCATCTCCAGCATCTCCGAGCGGAGCTCCTGGATCTCATCCTGTACGTGATGGAGCAGGCAGACCCGTCAGGAGGGAGAGCTCTTTGGTGGGGGATACGCTTTGTCTCTGTGCGGTGTTGGGTAACGCCGTCACGGATCAATGGGGACGAAGGCCTGGCTCATGTGTCTTTTACTGAAAACAAAGATGCCGAAAGCATACGGCTCTATGGATAAGCAAAAGTCAATATTATAGCAAGTGACTGATAATGTTTTATAGTAATTCACTTCAAGTTTTACAGTGTGACCAGGCCACATGATTTTATATTTTGAAGTTTTAAAAAGATTCTAAAGTAACACAGAGAATGCATTCTTACTTAAGACCAATGCTGGTACTCTCCTCAGATTCAAGATAAAAATCTTGCTATCTTCCAACAGCTTATCCTGTTCAGGGTCATAGTAAAGCCAGGCATTTCTCTATGAAATTTCATTTTTTTACTACACCCAGTAGCTCTAATGGCAAGACATTGTCAGTTTGGGTAAAACTAAGATCTACTGTTATATAGATACCGAAATTTAAAGACGTTTAAAAACATTTTTGGTCAACCATTGTAGTGATCAAAAAATGTAACTCCTAACGCATTTTTAAGCATCAAAACGCAACATGATTACCGCTGTCATAATGTGACGTCAATTTAATTTAAAGCATATGGGGGTGGAATAAACTATACACATGCCAAATTAAAAATGTTTTATATGTGTTGGACACCAGCTTTGGAGGGAATATGATTTATTATTGAGCCCTGTCCTGACCTTTTAAGGAATTTATTTGATCAACAATGCAATCATCATAGGATTTAACGGAACGTTAACTATGTTCTCATAATACATCTGAGAAAGAAGACGGAATAAACCTCGTCAAAGCTGAGGAAACATACTCTAGAGCTTCGTGATAAGTATGGTAACAATTATACTAAGTGAAGTAATTAAGAATTAATGACAGTCCTGCAACGTGGTTGACTGTGCATTGTCGTTGTCTGGGTGAAAGGCCTTTTACAAACGCGGTTGTGCACAAAAATTCGGCTGCCTTGCGGACATATTCTAGACCTGTACCGTAAAATAACGGAAATGAACAGAAGGAAATGAATTATAATTCTTATTTTTACACGCGTTTTATACTTCTAAATGAGTGTAAGCTGCAAGCAGGAAAATCCGTGGTGTTTGTCAAGTGCACCATCTAAACATTTAGTTGTATGCAGTTTACACTGTTCAGCGGGATATAAGTACAAACCTGCATAGAAGTGATGCCAATTAAGGGCCGGGGAAACACCTATTACAACCTAATACATTTTTACAACCATCCATGAGTAAAACATGTTTAGCCTGTTACTAGTATAGAAGCTTTTTGTCTAACAACGAGTGACCCAGTTTCGCAAATCAGTGACAACTGAAATATTCAGTTAACTATGTATATAGTCGGACGCACATTCATAGCGCGACTTGTGGATGCAAAACAAAACAGGCCGAAAAAAGCAGAGATTAGTGCCGAGGGACCAACCATACATCCGAGAAACATGTAAACCTCTGTAGAATAGGTGAAGACAGGCAGGAATTAGGCTGGAAACGCTTCGGAATTAAAAGACAGATCTAAATTTAAAAAAACAATAAGAAAATAAAAAGGTGTGAAAGTGTGCCGCCCAAGTTTTTTTAGAAAACGGAAAAAATAAGGATCATAATATTTTGCGATTATTAGGCCTAACATGTAGTTCAAACAAAATGAGAGAGCTTACTTTTAGGTATTCGTTTTCAGATCTTAGTTCCTCGATCTCCTTTAGGAGATCCCCCTGGACCCCATCCATGAACTCTGCCAGGTCCGGTAACGTCAGGGTTGCGTTGACGTGATGCCGGCAGTAGAGTGAGGCGAAAGATCGCTCATCATTGAAAGAGATGCTACATTCCCTACGTTCCAGTCTCAGGGGCCGTCTGCCCTCATTCACCGTCAAGTTTGCAAACTGATCACTCGTCATTGTTCCCCTGGCGACACTTGTTCGTTCCCTGTCAGTTCCTCCGTCGCGAATGCTGTTTTCGGTGTCACTGCTTTGGCCATCCGTTAATAATTTGTTCTCCTCCGAAGTGCCCTCGGACACTGACGAGAAGCTGTCTGCAGGGGACAGCTTGCCAGGGGCGCAGTTCTTCCTCTGCAGGTCGGAGGCATCAGACACTTTCTTCCGACCATCAGAGTTACTGTGGGTTGTTGGGTTGCTGACAGCTGGCGCTGTAGTTTTACCTGACACCTTCCGTGTCTCCGGTTTTACTTCTTTTTCACTGACCGGACTGTGCTTAGATACCCGATTCCCCGTGTGCATGGTCCGGGCTTTAACACTGCATTTCACCGTACCGGAGTTTCCCCTGGTCTTGACAGAAGTTCGTGCATGCACATCCTTGGGTCTGGCAGACAAGTCGGCACGATGTGAGTTTTTCTGCTCGTTAACTAGCGGCTCTTGCGGCTGTCGCTGGTGAGATTTTTGCGGCTGCGGCTGTTTGCTGCTGATACCGTCCTGTCTATCCATCGCGTGTCTCTGTAGCTTTGGCACGACCAGATTCAGATCTACCTTTGTCTTCGTCATTCATTCCGCTTTAAGGCTGACAACAACAGTCAATAAATCTAATAGGCCTACATATAGTTTACCTCGCCACAATAGTAACTTTTTTATTTACATTTCTTAAACATGTAATGTTTAAGAAACTGTAACAGAGAGAAGAGAGGATGAGTGCTCGTAACTCCGTAGCAACTCGTTTGCCGGAGATATTCTTCTCTCTTTTGCTAAGTAACCCGTCAGTGACTGGCAGTCCAACGTGCATTAGGAGGTGCTTTCTCCGCCCCACTTCGCCTGTGACCAGTATGGCTCTGGAAAGATAATTTTCCTTACAGACTCACTATCGCCAATGATCTGGGACCCAGACTTGCCTTTGGAATAAAGAGCCACGAGTGTTTTGAACGAAGAATCCAGCCATTAACATGGAATCCCCTATTCGTCGCCGAGTTGTAGCGTTTTGTGTCCTCTGTGATCATATTATAGTTTAATGTACCAGGGGCTCATGACCCAAATTATTCCGAGGTCAGTAAATCACGACTCAAATTCACGGAAAAACTTTTATGCCTGGGGCGCGGGGGGGGGGGGGGGGGGGGGGGGAGGTATTTTTGGGCCACAACAGACCAGTTAACAAACACTGGTGTAGACAGATCTGTTATACATTTACAAATGGCCCTTTTAACGTATGGTTAGGTTTGCACTTACCCTATCAAAAAAACAGCTTTATTAACGAACCATAAAGTGAGTTATATAAGCAATGTACCGTGCATTATATATAACAGCAAATATCAAATAGCCTTTTTTTCCATTATGCTGTTTATATGAACACCCGCTGATCCGTGGATTAATTTAACTTCTACTTCACAGGAAGGAAAGTATGTCTCCATCTAGTGGTTGCTTGTGTAATTACGTTTGTGGTAATGGTTATGCAGTTGAAATTCGATGCCAGAGGGTGTCACTACATCCAGTTTAACCTTAACATACAGTATGTTATATGTAATTGAAAGGAATCATTTTTTGAAGATGCGTATTTTTGGGTATAAAACGTATGTCGAGATCACATTTGCATGATTCCAAATGATTTAGTTTCAGTGTCTGTTGTTCATGGTTTACTGTAAGTGTACATATTACATGTTTAAATGCCTTAAAACTCTTCTAGCCTTTGACACCTTATGGCACTGCACTGTGGGTCATAGTGAGGGCTTATTAACCATCTGTCTCATTACTGTCCGCTTGTCCCCCCTGCAGCACTGCACAGCAGTGAGCCAGTGGGCCCGCTGAAAACAGGGGGTGGCCATGTCATCAGGAGTGCCCTCCCCCGGCCTGGTCTCTGGCTCCCCGGGCAGCTCTAGCAAGAACCTGGTGGAGTTCCCTGCTGGGAAGATGACCTTGAAGGAGAACACAGTGACACCTGACAAGAGGAAGGACCTCGTCTGCATCCACCAGACTGATGACTCGCTTATCCACTTCTGCTAGAAAAGCCAAACATCTGGCGATGTCGAGGATGTGAGCCCTTGGTTTTAGTCCCATACCAAGAGCAGTATTCTACCTTCTGCTTAGGTTGTGGGTGCGAATCCCAGTACATGTATGGAATTCAGTTGAAATAACAGAAGTAACTGTAATGCTGCCTTATTTAATACCTTTTGTCTATGTTCTGAATTTATAGGGTAACATATCAATGTCTCAAATGCAACTTCTTTACAGGAAAACACCACACTAGTAATCCTGGGGGGCTTGTTGTCTCCAGACTGGATCTGATCATCCCCCCTGAAGACTGTGAGTTCCAGCGTGTGACTCAGTGCACCACAGGGGGGTGTGTCTACGTGCTGAGGTTCAAGGCTGGCTCCAGGCGGCTGCAGGTGAGCGGGTCACGCGTGGAGTGAAGGCAGTGTGGGGTAAGTGCTGTGCGCCGCCGCTGTCTTTCTCTGACGCAAAGTCCTTGCAATACTTTAGCTTTATAAACCGTGAAATTATTTTGTAAATCTCCCCTTGTTTTCCCATAGCAGAATCCATTGCCTTTGGGATTATATATCCAATAAACTGATTGCTTGCATGTTCTTATTCTGCACTGGTTTGTTTAATTCCATTTGAATTACAATTTACATGCTGCAAAACAGTCTGGATGGCAAACAGAATCGAGGGGGGCAGATGAGGGGGTTTCTTGGGAAATAGCAATATATATTGCTGGGAGGGAAAGCAGACCATGAGTGACTCAGTGCGGTCATAACCAAATGGATGGGCTGACATCAGAAATGGATGAATAGACTTTGCTGGACTGGTTCATAGGATTGTACTCTATGGGTTTGCATTTCAAAGGACTTTCTAAACATTGCAGGTGGGATAAATCTCCCGTTCCTCTGCATATGCTGATCTCTCTCTAGATTTGAAATCATGAAACCATTCTCAGAAATGTTTAAAATAATTACCTTACAGCCCTGTGCTGTCCTGTGACCACTGTGACTTGCATCACCTTTTGTTCCTATCCATGCTGTCTAACCACTTCATAAATGTGTTCTGGTTACCTTTTCAAAATCACAGGGTGAATTTGAGGTGTATATGTCACCAGCAATGGATGTGAGACCCTCCCACATCTCAGCTTCATTGGTTTTTGCTGTTTGCTAAAAGGTGTAGGATCCAGCACAAATATTCAAACATCCATCAGTCACAAAGCAATAATCACTCCGGTTTCCAGGAACCCAAGACGAACAGGGAGGAGGAAGACTGCCGCAAAGTGAATGAGTGCCTGAACAACCCGCCTGTCCCCAGATGCCTGGGGGGTGGCAGTGGGCCCAAACTGTCAGCTCTCGGGGGTGGGAGATGCCACAAAGCGTAACGTGGAGATGCACATGACAGTGCACTGTATTATCCTGGTCAGTGTAAGTATTACACATTGACACTATATCATAATGCATTGTTCAGGCAAACGGTGTAAGGCTTAATACACCTTAAGTGTTATTTGAATTCTATTAGACATTATTATGCTTTTGAATTTCATGTTTTCTGTAGGTGAAAATGGAATGCAGAGCCTTCTGGGTAACATGAGTCATAACCAGCTGATGCAGCCTTTTGTTCCAGGTGGACTGGGGGGGGAGGGTCTTGGTAAGTGGTCTCTTAGGTGATCATTCAGTCAGCAACCAGTATTGGCTAAATTACAGGAGAAGAAGGAATGTCTTTTTTTCCAGTGTAAATTGATTTAATTTAGCATTGAACTACATGCCACTTCAAACATTTATTTTAGAGGGCACACTTCAGAGGCTTCTTTTTAAATTTTATTTTTGTGGTGTGAACCACAAGCAGTGCCGGGAAACCTGCCTTTCAGTAGGTGGTCAGTGAGGCAGCGGTGAGAGGAGACCTATTTACCTACACTGTATGAAACTAAGAACATTTGAAATACTGCTGCTTATTCCTTCTGGTGATTTCTTTCAATGTACACCACTGAACCTCATACAGAACACAGCTAATCCCCCTCTGAGGTGCAGTCCTAAAGGCTTTTCCTACACAGTCCATAGCAATTCATAATTTCCGTGGTGCAAAACGTTTAATACAATACTCTGTTCTCAATTTCTGTTAGATTGCAGTAATTAATATTCTGCCTATTAGATCTTCTTAGCAAACCTAGTAATTGAATGTTCTTTATATTTCACTGTTTTATACTGAGCTTTAAAATCAGATTGGTGTATTTGTTAGTCATTAGAGATTGTAAGTGATTTTGACCAGACATTTGTGAATAATTTCAGTATGCATACAGGGTCTCTGATTTCTTTAGGTTTACTCATCGGCATCGTAAGCAAAGGCCCTGTGTTGCTGTCATGTGATGAACATCATGTGATCTCTGTATTTTGGTCTACAGGCGGTCTAGGAGCAATGGCTAGTTTGGCCAGTTTGCTGGAGAGTTGAGCCCCTCCTTCAAGCTGCACACTCTCCAGGTATTTACCTTTCTTCATGCCAGTTTCAGCTCATTTGTCTGGCCATGAAATGAGGTGGTGTGATTTTTGTCTCTGCTTCTAACCAGTATCCAATCAGTGACCTCTTTACTGAGTTTTTGGCCCACCCACCTGGTCAGTGGTCCCCACCAGCCCATTGCAACCCATCCAGCTCAGTGAGGCTGGGGGTTTCGGTGAGAGGAGGTGTCAGCCATCATGGTCCACACTGTAGTGTGTTTAATGTTCCTCACATGACTCACCTTTGTACAAATTAAAGACTCTTCCCCTTCTAATAGTCTTACATTTGCAACTGTGCTTTACAATGTTCCCTGGAAATGGATGGTAAACTTTGGTGTTTGAGTCAATATGGATGCAAAATGGGCTGTATGCTATAGGACAGATTGTTAAATCCATGGTGAAACACCACAAGTCATGACTGAGCAGCCCTGCAAGCAGCACTGATTCTCCCAGGGGCAGCTGCCTAATGATTGGTCGTTAGGTGCTCACATGGTGTTTAGTGTCTGATAGGATTCTGGTTAGAGCAATAATTCACCAATACAGATGATAGTTTAACTTTTTTTATTTATCCAGGCTGCAAAATGCATCTTCAGATTTACAGGTTCCTGAGAAAGAAGTCAGAAAATCAGAAAAGTGAAATTAAGTGAAAAGTAACAAGTTAAAGGTCAATTTACTCTAATAATTGTTTAAGAAACAATATAATATAGCATATAAACATGCAAGAGAAAGCCTTGGTTAATTCCTCATCTGTATGTTTATTTTCATCTGTGTTAATAACGTGGGTTAGATGGCTGAACTCCAAGCCAAATCTTAAATCTCAGCCATCTTGCTTTGTGTAGCCTAAGCCTACTTGAGCAACAAAGACGATAATCGTCAGTCACTGTCAGATAGACTTGTCTGATGTTGATTGCCGATATCATTAATCGCCCCACTGTAATCAGCACTGACATAGAGAAGCTTCTATCCTGATGAAGTAAGGTAGTTTGACTGGAAACTGATATGGCCACTCGAGTTTTCCAAATCAGTCCTGAGGACACACTGGACAGCTCCACATTTTTGTTTTATCCCAGTTCCGAGAACACCTGACCCAAGCAAGCAGGAGCTCTTAATACCTTATTGGTGTGCTGGGAACCAGGATAAAACAAAAACGTGGATCTGTCCAGTGCGCCCTGAAGACTGGATTGGGAAACCCCAATATAACCCCACTCTCTCCAACACCACCTATTATGCCGGGTTTGCTGTTCTTACTTGGATACGATGGCATCATTCTTTGCCAGCCTCAGGAGGGAGTCATCCGCTTCACCCTGTTCAAGAAGGGACACCCGCTTAGAGTCTCTAATAACTGAAGCTCAGTTTCCTTAATATAAATTTACAGCTCCAGAATCCAGTCCACAATGATGCAAGTTTAAGGGTCATCGCTAAAATTAACAATTTTATGAAACATACCAAACTACAGGGTCAGGGTAAAAAAAAAAAAACCTTTACTTAGAAACCAAATAAATGAACATCATTTTCTTTGCACACATGCCGAAATCATTAAGGGAGAATACTAAATAGCACAGATACAACACTAACAAAAATTGTGGTTTATAACTGCTAAAAGCT